AATGGTGATTTGAGTAGCCTACTGTAAAAAAGCAGACATGATGATGACGCATTGTAGAACTCCCACGCAGGCAAGAACCGCTGGATATAAGCTGTCCAGTGTGTGATGCAAATACTGTAAAGCTTCCATATTAGTTTGGGTCCCTAGGCAAACCATTCAGAAACCAACTTTCCTTATGCACCAAAGTGTAGCCTATGTGCTGCACAGAACATGGACTGCAATTTGTCAACAGCTGGGCCTTGAGGATCTCTATTTGGAAATGGTTAAATTGAGTGGCCATGGAAAGTTAACCTTTTCTATGACAAACATACAGTATATGATTCTCTGCCAATTTTTTCACTGACAAATTCTTATTTACAATGACGGCCTACACCGGTCAAACCCGGACAACGCTGGGCCAATTGTGCGCCGCCCTATGGAACTCCCAATCACAGCCGGTTGTGATACAGCCTGGAATCAAACCAGGGAGTCTGTAGTGACGCCTCAAGCACTGAGATGCAGTGCCTTAGACCGCTGCGCCACTCGGGAGCCCTATTGCAGTGACCTTAATTCAACATCCTAGCGACCTCGTCAAGAGGTGCAGACCTCTTGGGGTAACGGTTAAGGTCTTGGCTTGACAGTCGCTGGTCCGGGTCGGGGGGTACCTCCCGAATTCGCTACATTGGTGTCAGAAGTGGGATTCATGACTCTAGCACCAAGAAAAATGCATTCAAAATAGCTTCTGTAGTTTCATAATTGTATGTTAGTTAATGGAAGAATATGGTAATTTTTTAAAATCAATTTCCTGAAAAGTTTCTGTTTTGGAGATTAGGTTTTCATCAGACAGCGACAATATGCTTCCCTGCATCTCTGCTAAAATTTGGGTAAAAGATTGAAAGGAACGTGAGCTTTATTCAGTACATTTAGTTATTACTTGCTTTTCTAAAGTCTAGCAACCTTGCCAGCAGGCATGCCAGCTTAGTTAGACATGCTACTCTTAACTTGATTGATAGCCTGAAATGGTTTGGTAGCTAGTTATGAGGTTGGTAGATTGTGAACCTGTCTAGCTGTCTCGCTAAAGCCAACTTCATAACATTGCTAGGTGGCTAGGTATTACAGAGAAACAACAAAACACTTTTGTTTTATTTATTCATCAAAAGAATCAATAGGCTACATAGCTTGATCAAATGAATGCCTCCTGCGAGTCCTGCCCATCAAGGCACTCTACACTATCTCTGCTCCTCCACTGACGATACTGAACTCTAGTCCAGGGGTGTCATTCCATGGAGGGCCGTGTGTCTGCCAGTTTTTTGTTTCTCCTTTCAATGAAGCCCTAGACAACCAGGTGAGGGGAGTTCTTTACTAATCAGTGACCTTAATTCATCAATCAAGTACAAGGGAGCAGCAAAAAAAACCTGCAGACACTCGGCCCTCCATGGAATGAGTTTGACACGTGCACCAGAGTACAGTACCTAGCGATCTGCCTAGCATATCTGTGCTCCGTGCACCTTGGAAGGAACCACTTACTAGTGAGAATAGGGGGAGGGGGGGGGGTGCTCTTTGCTTTCTCCAGTCAGTCCCCCCCCCCCCCCTCCACAAAACACCAGACAGACAAATAATGATGATAAAATGTGGGCTTAAAAAATTGAAGTTTAGTAATTAATTGAACACCTGAAAAATAACTAAAACAGGACAAATCTGAAGGGGGCACATGCCCTGGTTCCCCCTATGGGCATGACGCCTCTGCAGCTGAATTACAATGTTATTGAAATATAAGGCACTTTATTTAAGGCACTTAGAAATTCCAAGATTAGTCAACATTGTAAACATTTATAGTTAATTTAAACCCAGCTCATAACTTACTTTATTTCATCTGCAGTTAAAGCATATGCGAGTGAACCATGCATCAGAATCACCTTTATGATTAAGTATTAAGTACATTAACACATATCCAGAATGCACCTTGGTGAGAAGGTGCTGCCAACAATAGAGTATTGACAGAATACAGACACAAATCCACACAGACATATCAATCACATCTGGCACATTCTGTGATTTCCTACAGTCAGATGGTGAACAACAGTAACAAGCAGTGTTGGAGATTAATATGACTACAGCTGTTCGAGATACAGTACACCGCAGTCTGCAGTATTGACCAATGTGTGTGCTAAGAAAATGAATGAACATATTCATACTTGGCTAATAACAGACATGTTTCTATTTTCAGTATTTCTCCAATGTGTTCTCTATTTTCAGTATTTCTCCAATGTGTTCACTCATGTAGTCTTGATTATATTTTATTCAGGTGCAGTACGAACTGGTGACGTGTGAAATGTCCTCAGGTGCAGTAATAACTGGTGACGTGTGAAATGTATTCCCGTTGGATCTCATTGTATATCATTCCCTTTTCAGAGCCATGCTGATTGTTATTAAGACAGAATCAAGTGTCCATGTAATGTAATGTACACTGCAATACTGTAATAACAAGGTACAGTGGGGGAAAAAAAGTATTTAGTCAGCCACCAATTGTGCAAGTTCTCCCACTTAAAAAGATGAGAGAGGCCTGTAATTTTCATCATAGGTACACGTCAACTATGACAGACAAAATGAGAAAGAAAAATCCAGAAAATCACATTGTAGGATTTTTAATGAATTTATTTGCAAATTATGGTGGAAAATAAGTATTTGGTCAATAACAAAAGTTTCTCAATACTTAACAAGTTCAAACAGGTGCCATTAATACAGGTAACGAGTGGAGGACAGAGGAGCCTCTTAAAGAAGAAGTTACAGGTCTGTGAGAGCCAGAAATCTTGCTTGTTTGTAGGTGACCAAATACTTATTTTCCACCATAATTTGCAAATAAATTCATTAAAAATCCTACAATGTGATTTTCTGGAGAATTTTTTTTCTCATTTTGTCTGTCATAGTTGACGTGTACCTATGATGAAAATTACAGGCCTCTCTCATCTTTTCAAGTGGGAGAACTTGCACAATTGGTGGCTGACTAAATACTTTTTTCCCCCACTGTATTGTAATTTTACTCATATAAATATTGGCAAAACAAAACAAGTTGACCTATAAAAAGAAAAAGACAGAAACAGTAACAATTGGTTCAGAATGAATAGTACATTGGTTGGCACGTGCATTAAGTCCCTCATTGTCAGAATGAATAGTACATTGGTTGGCACGTGCATTAAGTCCCTCATTGTCAGAATGAATAGTACATTGGTTGGCACGTGCATTAAGTCCCTCATTGTCAGAATGAATAGTACATTGGTTGGCACGTGCATTAAGTCCCTCATTGTCAGAATGAATAGTACATTGGTTGGCACGTGCATTAAGTCCCTCATTGTCAGAATGAATAGTACATTGGTTGGCACGTGCATTAAGTCCCTCATTGTCAGAATGAATAGTACATTGGTTGGCACGTGCATTAAGTCCCTCATTGTCAGAATGAATAGTACATTGGTTGGCACGTGCATTAAGTCCCTCATTGTCAGAATGAATAGTACATTGGTTGGCACGTGCATTAAGTCCCTCATTGTCAGAATGAATAGTCCACCAGAACACAAACACTCTAAAAACAGTCCACCAGTCAACACAAATATTATACAGTTGGCTGTAAATAAGTGGTGATAAAATGAAACAAAATGGGAGATCCAATTTCCTCACTGATGAGCACTACCCTTTATGGCCCTGTCACAGTGTATTGATTATAGCCTAACGTTATATTACATAAAACATAAAACAATATAAAATACTGTTTGTTGGGCACTGTGTAATGATGAGCTGACGGGGCTTGTTATCAGAGCCAGAGGAGGGGTAACAACTCAACAGAAAGAAGTAGACGTCATTCTAAGGTGCTGTCTGAACAGACGACATTATGCAGATCGGTGCAAGGTTCTTGAAGGTCCCTGGCCCTGTAGGTGCCTAGGCTAGGTATCAACTGTCTGTGATCCTAATAGAAAAGTGGGTTTGACTCAGTGTACTGAACGTGGGGTTGACTCAGTGTACTGAACGTGGGTTTGGCTCAGTGTACTGAACGTGGGGTTTGACTCAGTGTACTGAACGTGGGGTTGACTCAGTGTACTGAACGTGGGTTTGGCTCAGTGTACTGAACGTGGGGTTTGGCTCAGTGTACTGAACGTGGGTTTGGCTCAGTGTACTGAACGTGGGGTTTGACTCAGTGTACTGAACGTGGGTTTGACTCAGTGTACTGAACGTGGGTTTGGCTCAGTGTACTGAACGTGGGTTTGGCTCAGTGTACTGAACGTGGGTTTGGCTCAGTGTACTGAACGTGGGTTTGACTCAGTGTACTGAATGTGGGTTTGACTCAGTGTACTGAACGTGGGTTTGACTCAGTGTACTGAACGTGGGTTTGACTCAGTGTACTGAACGTGGGTTTGGCTCAGTGTACTGAACGTGGGTTTGGCTCAGTGTACTGAATGTGGGTTTGACTCAGTGTACTGAACGTGGGTTTGGCTCAGTGTACTGAACGTGGGTTTGGCTCAGTGTACTGAACGTGGGTTTGACTCAGTGTACTGAACGTGGGTTTGGCTCAGTGTACTGAACGTGGGTTTGGCTCAGTGTACTGAACGTGGGTTTGGCTCAGTGTACTGAATGTGGGTTTGACTCAGTGTACTGAACGTGGGTTTGGCTCAGTGTACTGAATGTGGGTTTGGCTCAGTGTACTGAACGTGGGTTTGGCTCAGTGTACTGAATGTGGGTTTGACTCAGTGTACTGAACGTGGGTTTGACTCAGTGTACTGAATGTGGGTTTGACTCAGTGTACTGAACGTGGGGTTGGATAAAAGCGTCTGCTCAGTGGCATTGTTCTGAAGGATCATGCCATTTCACCAACTCCCTAATTTACCCTCTGGACACGCCCTAATTTACCCTCTGGACACGCCCTAATTTACCCTCTGGACACGCCCTAATTTACCCTTTGGATACGCCCTAATTTACCCTCTGGACACTCCCTAATTTACCCTCTGGACACTCCCTAATTTACCCTTTGGACACGCCCTAATTTACCCTCTGGACACTCCCTAATTTACAGTCCACCCTAGTCCTTTTCATACAGGATACATTATAATATTAGAGTGAGGCTGGAGTAGAGTTGTGGTTTTCATTGAGCCTCCTCATCATCAGCCCCATCCCCTCTACCTCCTCTGGGTCTATGGTGGAGGCCATAGGGGCCAGGGCTGGTCCTGGTCCTTCTTCCCCAGCTCCGGTTGACCCTCCTGGGCCTGGGGTCCCTCCTGTGGTCCCCTCGGTGTAGAAGGAGCCCCGGAGGTCCAGGTTGACACAGAAGGAGCCCGGCAGCAGCTGCCTCTGGTATTGGTCCAGACGGCTGATAATATCCAGGACAGAGGAGCTGCCTCCACTAACCCAGCCAGGGAGCAGGCCGGCAGGGATGAGCTGGGCAGGCAGGGACTTGCAGTGACGTAGTTCCAACTGGTAGTAACATCTAAAGAGAGAGACTCATTAGATCATGAGACGTAAGGACTTCAGGTGAGAATGTGGGAGAACCACCGGTAGAGAGAGAGAGAGAGAGACATTCATCTCAGACGATGCTGAATTAAGAGTTTTCTCTGTTGTTTGTGTGCAAAATCGATAAAAAATGTATGAGAATGCCTCATGCCTGCCTGTCTGTCTGTCTGTCTGTCTGTATAATAACTTACTTTGCAGAGACGTGGTTGGAGACAGTCTTGGTGGCCCGGATCACAGCACACTGCAGCATCTTAACGACCTGCTCTCTGATCCATCCCACATCCTCCTGAACATCAGGCAGCCACTCTAACAATCTGAGAGAAGAGACAGGGCATTAGTAATATATAATATATATTACAAAAATAAAGTGAATTGGATGGAAAATGGTGAAAAATGCACAAAATTTTTCTTGAATCTTCAACATAGAAATGTTACCAAACATAACTTACACAAACTCGTTACAAATGATGGAGTCATCCACGATTCACCCAAATTATATTTTGAAAGAGGAAGCTAAATATTTTAAGCATATGTTTTCTTTTCAGTCTCCTCCATTTCCACTCAATGATGTTAACTGTAAGGATTTCTTTCCTAATAATAATAATAATAATAATAAAAATAATGTAAAATTAACAAATGTACAGAAAGACCCGTGTGAAAGCCAACTTACAGAAGAGGAACTTTTTGAGGCAATTCAATATTTTCAGTCTGTAAAAACCCCAGGGCTAGATGGTATACCAGAGAGGTATATCAGACCTTTTTTGGTGTACTCACAAAGATCCATTATTAGCGTGTTTTAATTACTCCTATAAAAATGGTAGACTTTTAGGTACTCAACAAGAAGGTCTGATTTCATTACTACTAAAACAGGACCCAGGTGGTAAGTATAAAGATCCAGTCCCATAAAAAAAAAAACTGGAGGCCTCTTACACTTCAATGTTGTGATGCGAAAATCCTGGCGAAATATATAGCACTCAGAATTAAAAAGGTTTTACCAGGTATTGTTCATCCTAATCAGACAGGTTTTTTTTTTACATGGACGATACATTGGAGATAATATACGACAATTACTTGAAACAATTTAACATTATGAAACATCAAAGATACCAGGCTTGGTCTTCATAGCAGACTTTGAAAAGGCGTTTGATAAAGTACGACTAGAATATATATATAAATGCCTGGATTACTTTAATTCGGTGAATCTCTTATACAATGGGTTAAATTTATGTCCAGCAACCCCAGGTGTAAAATGGTTACTTCTCAGAAAGTATTGAGCTTTTAAGAGGAGTAAAACAAGGCTGTCCGTTGTCTCCCTATCTATTTATTATGGCCATTGAAATGCTAGCTATTAAAATTAGATCCAACAAGAACATCAAGGGGTTAGAAATCCAGGGGATGAAAACAAAAGTGTCAATGTATGCCGATGACTCAAGTTTTTTTTAAAGTCCGCAATCTGGATCCCTGAACGGTCTCACTGAAGATCTGGATCACTTTTCTAGCCTCTCCGGACTAAAACCTAATTATGACAAGTGTACCATATTAACGTATTGGGATGGTTAAAATACACAGTGTTTACACTACCTTGTAGTTTACCAATAAAATGGACGGATGGTGAAGTAGACATACTTGGTATTCACATGTCAAAAAAATATAAATGAACTTAACACAATCAATTTCAATAGAAAGTTTGCAAAAAAAGATAACATTCTGCAACCATGGAGAGGTAAATACTTTGGCCCATCACAGTTTACATACTTACTAATGGCACTGCCTACTCCAGACGACTTGTTTATTAAATCATATGAGAAAATAATATTTCATTTTATTTGGAATGCTTAGCCCAACAAAACTAAACGTGCCTATTTATATAATGAATATGAGTTGGGGGGGCTAAAATTATTAAATATTAAAGCTTTAAACCTCTCAATAAAAGCTTCACTCATACATAAATTATACTTAAACCCAAAATGGTTCTCCAGTAGATTATTAAGAAAGACTCATCCTTTGTTCAAAAATGGCCCTTTTCCCTTTATACAGATTACAACTTCTAATTTCCAACTAATTGAAAGTGAAATGTTGTTTAAAGTATCACCCTTTCTTAAACAAGCCATACAAAGCTGGTTACAATTTCAATTTTATCCTCCAGAAAAGATAGAACAAATATTACAACAAATGTTATGGTTAAACTCAAATATACAGTGGCTTGCGAAAGTATTCACCCCCCCTGGCATTTTTCCTATTTTGTTGCCTTACAACCTGGAATTAAAATGGATTTTTTGGCGGTTTGTATCATTTGATTTATACAACTTTGAAGATGCAAAATATGTTTTATTGTGAAACAAACAAGAAATAAGACAAAAAAACAGAAAACTTGAGCATGCATAACTATTCACCCCCCCCCCCCCCCCAAAGTCAATACTTTGTAGAGCCACCAATTACAGCTGCATGTCTCTTGGGGTATGTCTCTACAAGCTTGGCACATCTAGCCACTGAGATTTTTGCGCATTCTTCAAGGCAAAACTGCTCCGTCCAAGTCTCAAATCTCTGGAAGACTGAAACAGGTTTCCCTCAAGAATTTCCCCGTATTTAGCTCCATTCATCATTCCTTCAATTCTGACCAGTTTCCCAGTCCCTGCCGATGAAAAACATCCCCACAGCACGATGCTGCCACCACCATGCTTCACTGTGGGTATGGTGTTCTCGGGGTGATGAGAGGTGTTGGGTTTGCGCCAGACATAGCGTTTTCCTTGATGGCCAAAAAGCTCAATTTGAGTCTCATCTGACCAGAGTACCTTCTTCCATATGTTTGGGGAATCTTCCACATGCCTTTTGGCACGGCCCTCTCTTGGCAGGTTTGTTGTTGTGCCATATTCTTTCCATCATTCCATGGATTTAATGGTGCTCCGTGGGATGTTCGAAGTTTCTGATAGTTTTTTTTATAACCCAATCCTGATCTGTACTTCTCCACAACTTTGTCCCTGACCTGTTTGGAGAGCTCCTTGGTCTTCATGGTGCCGCTTGCTTGGTGGTGCCCCTTGCTTAGTGGTGTTGCAGACTCTGGGGCCTTTCAGAACAGGTGTATATATACTGTGATCATGTGACAGATCATGTGACACATAGATTGCACACAGGCTGACTTTATTTAACTAATTATGTGACTTCTGAAGGTAATTGGTTGCACCAGAACTTATTTAGGGGCTTCATAGCAAAGTGGGTGAATACATATGCACGCACCACTTTTCCGTTATTTATTTTTTTGAATCTTTTGAAACAAGTTATTTTTTTCATTTCACTTCACCAATTTGGACTATGTTGTGTGTGTCCATTACATGACATCCAAATAAAAATCAATTAAAATTACAGGTTGTAATGGAACAAAATAGGAAAAATGCCAAGGGGGATGAATACTTTTGCAAGGCACTGTACTGATTAATAAAAAAACATTCTTTATGGAAAAATTTTTTAAAATTGGTATTATATTTATTCATGATATTATGAATAGAAACGGTGGAGTTATGTCACATATGCAGCTATTGAAAATATATGGGAATGTCTGCTCAATCCAAACCTACAACCAACTGATTGCAGCATTACCACAAAAAATGGAGGAGGCAATTGGAAAAGGGAGAAGGTAGGGAACTTGTTTGCCTGCCATATATTAAAGATACAAATTGGCTGAAAGGAATTAGCATAAATAGAAAAAATACCAGTTTCATTTGAGGACAGAAAATCGGACAGCTGCCCCATACAGGTTGCAAAATAAATGGGAAAAGATTTTCGACGTACCGATTCCACGGCACATGGTTTATGGACTGGTACAAAAAACAACACTTGATTCAACACTTCGAGTTTTTCTATTTAAATTATTATATACAATTCTTGCCACCAACAGAATGCTATATATATATGGGGCATACAACAATCTCAGCTCTGTAGATTTTGCTGTGAAGAGACAGAATCACTAGATCATTTATTCTGGTATTGCCCCTATGTAGCTTGCTTCTGGTCACAGGTCCAGGAATGGTTAAAAAATCACAACATTCACTTAAAAATTTACCTTACAAATAGCAGTGTTGGGGCGATTTGGAAAGCCATAGTCAGTCAATAAATGATATAATAATACTTGTAGGAAGGTTTTCATCTTTAGCAAACAATCTGTGGATACTATACGATTAGAAAGGTTAAAAATGTATGTAAAACACCACAGCACAATTGAAAAATATATGGCACATGGAAACCAAACGAGGGTGGTCTATGGTGATTGGTGGGATGGGCTGAGACTGGCTGGGGGGTGGGATTAAATAACTTTTGTTTGGTAATGTATTATTGTTATGTGACTGCTTTATATAAAAGTACCATGTATGTATATATATATATACAGTGAGGGAAACAAGTATTTGATCCCCTGCTGATTTTGTACGTTTGCCCACTGACAAAGAAATGATCAGTCTATAATTTTAATGGTAGGTTTATTTGAACAGTGAGAGACAGAATAACAACAACAAAAATCCAGAAAAACGCATGTCAAAAATGTTATAAATTGATTTGCATTTTAATGAGGGAAATAAGTATTTGACCCCCTCTCAATCAGAAAGATTTCTGTCTCCCAGGTGTCTTTTATACAGGTAACGAGCTGAGATTAGGAGCACACTCTTAAAGGGAGTGTTCCTAATCTCAGTTTGTTACCTGTATAAAAGACACCTGTCCACAGAAGCAATCAATCAATCAGAATCCAAACTCTCCACCATGGCCAAGACCAAAGAGCTCTCCAAGGATGTCAGGGACAAGATTGTAGACCTACACAAGGCTGGAATGGGCTACAAGACCATCGCCAAGCAGCTTGGTGAGAAGGTGACAACAGTTGGTGCGATTATTCGCAAATGGAAGAAACACAAAATAACTGTCAATCTCCCTCGGCCTGGGGCTCCATGCAAGATCTCACCTCGTGGAGTTGCAATGATCATGAGAACGGTGAGGAATCAGCCCAGAACTACACGGGAGGATCTTGTCAATGATCTCAAGGCAGCTGGGACCATAGTCACCAAGAAAACAATTGGTAACACACTACGCCGTGAAGGAATAAAATCCTGCAGCGCACGCAAGGTCCCCCTGCTCAAGAAAGCACATATACAGGCCTGTCTGAAGTTTGCCAATGAACATCTGAATGATTCAGAGGAGAACTGGGTGAAAGTGTTGTGGTCAGATGAGACCAAAATCGAGCTCTTTGCCATCAACTCAACTCGCCATGTTTGGAGGAGGAGGAATGCTGCCTATGACCCCAAGAACACCATCCTCACCGTCAAACATGGAGGTGGAAACATTATGCTTTGGGGGTGTTTTTCTGCTAAGGTGACAGGACAACTTCACCGCATCAAAGGGACGATGGACGGGGCCATGTACCGTCAAATCTTGGGTGAGAACCTCCTTCCCTCAACCAGGGCATTGAAAATGGGTCATAGATGGGTATTCCAGCATGACAATGCCCCAAAACACACGGCCAAGGCAACAAAGGAGTGGCTCAAGAAGAAGCATATTAAGTTCCTGGAGTGGCCTAGCCAGTCTCCAGACCTTAATCCCATAGAAAATCTGTGGAGGGAGCTGAAGGTTCGAGTTGCCAAACACCAGCCTCGAAACCTTAATGACTTGGAGAAGATCTGCAAAGAGGAGTGGGACAAAATCCCTCCTGAGATGTGTGCAAACCTGGTGGCCAACTACAAGAAACGTCTGACCTCTGTGATTGCCAACAAGGGGTTTTGCCACCAAGTACTAAGTCATATTTTGCAGAGGGGTCAAATACTTATTTCCCTCATTAAAATGCAAATCAATTTATAACATTTTTGACATGCATTTTTCAGGATTTCTTTGTTGTTATTCTGTCTCTCACTGTTCAAATAAACCTACCATTAAAATTATAAACTGATAATTTCTTTGTCAGTGGGCAAACGTACAAAATCAGCAGGGGATCAAATATTTTTTGCCCTCACTGTATATATATATATGATAAATATATGATCATACAGTCAAACTGGCATTAGTCATGACAGTCAACAACACAGCACGACCAACACAGCACGACCAACACAGCACGACCAACACAGCACGACCAACACAGCACGACCAACGCAGCACGACCAACACAGCACGACCAACACAGCACGACCAACACAGCACGACCAACACAGCACGACCAACACAGCACGACCAACACAGCATGCAATGGAAAACAACATGAGTGATTGTTATGTACTAAGTTCAGGTAGGCTCTCCTTGTTTTTTATCATTTAGTGAACCGGACCCAGACATTCACTATGACAGACAACCAGACCACACCCTCTGTATCTTTCTGCATTGACGGTAAAGGTGAAAGTCCGGTAGTTTCTAAACTGAGATAAAGAAAGTGATACAAGGTACAGAAATATAACAGGAGCGTAGCCAACCCAGAGCAGGAGTTAGCAGTTCCCTGTGGCTACAGAGCCACTGGCTATGTCCCTGACATTATTTCAGTCCTCTAAGTGTTTGTGGTCCAGAGCCACTGGCTATGTCCCTGACATTATTTCAGTCCACTAAGTGTTTGTGGTCCTGCGTGCGAAACGCCAGCAACACAGTTTGATCTGAGTGACTTTAGTACACTTACCTAACAGCCATAGACAGACTCCAGAGGGAGAGTGTAGGGTGTAGGGTCTAGTCTTACCTAACAGTCATAGACAGACTCCAGAGGGAGAGTGTAGGGTGTAGGGTCTAGTCTTACCTAACAGTCATAGACAGACTCCAGAGGGAGGGTGTAGGGTCTAGTCTTACCTAACAGTCATAGACAGACTCCAGAGGGAGGGTGTAGGGTCTAGTCTTACCTAACAGTCATAGACAGACTCCAGAGGGAGGGTGTAGGGTCTAGTCTTACCTAACGGTCATAGACAGACTCCAGAGGGAGGGTGTAGGGTCTAGTCTTACCTAACAGTCATAGACAGACTCCAGGGGGAGGGTCTAGGGTGTAGGGTCTAGTCTTACCTAACAGTCATAGACAGAGCAGACTCCAGGGGGAGGGTGTAGGGTCTAGTCTTACCTAACAGTCATAGACAGAGCAGACTCCAGGGGGAGGGTGTAGGGTGTAGGGTCTAGTCTTACCTAACAGTCATAGACAGAGCAGACTCCAGAGGGAGGGTCTAGGGTGTAGGGTCTAGTCTTACCTAACAGTCATGGACAGACTCCAGGGGGAGGGTGTAGGGTCTAGTCTTACCTAACAGTCATGGACAGACTCCAGGGGGAGGGTGTAGGGTCTAGTCTTACCTAACAGTCATGGACAGACTCCAGGGGGAGGGTGTAGGGTCTAGTCTTACCTAACAGTCATGGACAGACTCCAGGGGGAGGGTGTAGGGTCTAGTCTTACCTAACAGTCATGGACAGAGCAGACTCCAGGGGGAGGGTGTAGGGAAGCATCATAGCTGTCGCCATCCTGACTGGCAGCAGGTTGCTTAGCGACTGGCCCAGACTGTATCTCTCCTTGCAGGCTTCCACCAGAGCTACAGAGAGAGACAGAGAGAAGAGAGAACACTTAGAACACTCTAGAACCAGAGCTACAGAGAGAGACAGAGAGAAGAGAGAACACTTAGAACACTCTAGAACCAGAGCTACAGAGAGAGACAGAGAGAAGAGAGAACACTTAGAACACTCTAGAACCAGAGCTACAGAGAGAGACAGAGAGAAGAGAGAACACTTAGAACACTCTAGAACCAGAGCTACAGAGAGAGACAGAGAGAAGAGAGAACACTTAGAACACTCTAGAACCAGAGCTACAGAGAAACAGAGAGAAGAGAGAACACTTAGAACACTCTAGAACCAGAGCTACAGAGAGAGACAGAGAGAAGAGAGAACACTTAGAACACTCTAGAACCAGAGCTACAGAGAGAGACAGAGAGAAGAGAGAACACTTAGAACACTCTAGAACCAGAGCTACAGAGAGAGACAGAGAGAAGAGAGAACACTTAGAACACTCTAGAAACAGAGCTACAGAGAGAGACAGAGAGAAGAGAGAACACTTAGAACACTCTAGAACCAGATCTACAGAGAGAGACAGAGTGAAGGGAGAACACTTAGAACACTCCAAACTTTCCCTGAATACACAGTACTCTACAATACACCACCAGATCTACAGAGACAGAGAGAGAACAACTCACTCACTGAAAACATTACCACCTACAGAGGGAGACAGAGAGAGAACAACTCACTCACTGAAAACATTACCACCTACAGAGGGAGACAGAGAGAGACTTCCTAACCTCCTGCCAAATGTATGACCATATTAGAGACACATATTTCTCTCAGATTACAGCGATCCACAAAGAATTCGAAAACAAACCCAATTTTGATAAACTCCCTTATCTACTGGGTGAAAAACCACAGTGTGCCATCACAGCTGCAAGATTTGTGACCTGTTGCCACAAGAAAAGGGCAACCAGTGAAGAACAAACACCATTGTAAATACAACCCATATTTATGTTTATTTATTTTCCCATTTGTACTTTAACTATTTGCACATTGTTACAACACTGTATATATATATAATATGACATTTGAAATGTCTTTATTCTTTTGAAACTTCTGAGTGTAATGTTTACTGTTAATATGTATTGTTTATTTCACTTTTGTTTACTATCTACTTCACTTGCTTTGGCGATGTTAACATACGTTTCCCATGCCAATAAAGCCCTTAAATTGAAATTGAATTGAACTGAATTGAGAGAACAACTCACTCACTGAAAACATTACCACCTACAGAGGGAGACAGAGAGAGAACAACTCACTCACTGAAAACATTACTGACTGACTGGCTGGCTGACTGACTGACTGACTGACTGGCTGACTGGCTGGCTGACTGGGTGGCTGACTGGCTAGCTGACTGACTGGCTGACTGGCTGGCTGGCTGGCTGACTGGCTGACTGACTGGCTGGCTGGCTGGCTGACTGGCTGGCTGGCTGGCTGACTGGCTGGCTGGCTGGCTGGCTGGCTGGCTGGCTGGCTGACTGGCTGACTGGCTGGCTGGCTGGCTGGCTGGCTGACTGGCTGGCTGACTGGCTGGCTGGCTGGATGGCTGGCTGGCTGGCTGGCTGGCTGGCTGACTTACTCTCTCACATTGTAACATACTGTAAGCAAGAACAGCGCTACACAGTGGGTCCCCTGGCCTAAAGCTACAACTAAAGTAGAAACAAGTTGTTCAGGTTTTTCTCTAGACCAGTCTCTGGTTGGTTGGGGCTTTGTCAGTAGTCTGGGGCTTTTCTGAGACATGCTCTGGAGACTGGGCTTGAGAAAGGCCTTGTGCTGAAAAGGTGCCATCTCCCCTGATCATGTTCTATATCCATGACAACAATAAATCACTCATATTTAGCTGTGTTTGTCTTGGTTTTACACTGTCCTTGTTTGTTTTCAAAGGCGCTTAAATACAATGTATTATTTTGGTGCTGTCTATCCTACCTTTGTGTAGTCTGGGTGGCAGGTGCTCAAAGATGTGATCCTCGACGTTGGATTTGGACTCGGAGGGGGCTACCGCTGACCCTTTCTCTCCGGGTCGGAGCTCATTCTCCACATGATGCTCCCCGTGTTCTGCATCGTCATCATCCTCCATGACATCATCTTCCTCATCCTCAACGTCGGCTATCAGAGGTCTGTGGGGTCCTGTGTGATTCAACAGTCCTGAAACACACAGTCAAACACACACACATGACCAAGACAGCCAAACCATACACAGTCTATCTCTTTGGTTGGACATTTGTCAGTCATTTCAAGTACCTTTCTGACAATTCATTCCCACCTGTAGAACTACTCTATACCAAGCCTGATCTAATATAGAGTCATATAATAGAACTGCTAGAATGGTGTCTTACCGTTAATCTTTAGAAAGTGAAGAGCATCTTTGTACCCCTGTTTACACATGGCCTTCATAACCTGAAACAAACAAACACAGACAGACAGACACATTAGATATCTTCCCCGAGACACATTCAGAGTCCCATGTCCATCTGTCTGCCTGGTGGTTCTGTAGAGGTTGGTGAGTGTAAACTGGATGGAGGTGTTGGTGTGTACCTGTGGATCGGGCGGGAACAGAGCTCTGGACACTCTGTAGAGGTTGGTGAGTGTAAACTGGATGGAGGTGTTGGTGAAACGTAGTTCATGCATGTTGGTGGATCTATCTCTAGGACAGATGTCACTCTCTCCAGAGAATGGAGACACAGTGATGGTGTTCTTCAGCTCATACTGTGGCAGATTATCACTGATGCCACCGTCCACGTAACGCTGGGGGTAGGAGGGAGGGAGGGAGGGAGGGAGGGAGGGAGGGAGGGAGGGAGGGAGGGAGGGAGGGAGGGAGAGTTAGACAGAGAGATAACTAAATACCAACCATTTTGAGTCAGTTGCAATGTTGCTACATAGAGAGACAATATATTATAAGCTTTATAATAACACAATATAAAGACTTACGCAAGTTATCAAGCATTATCTTGGCATGCTTTAAGTAAATACCCTGTAGGGTAAAAGTGTGGAAACTGACGGGGGGCATGGGATGTGTTTTATGTCTGTTGATAGTTTTATAGTGACGTCAGGTCCAGTGTCCAGACATTCAGAGGACAGGAGAGGACAACCTTGAGAGAGGTAGCCTGGCGTGTCTCAATAATAGATCCTAGAAAAGCCCTGTACCAAACTGAGAGATGGCGCAGTTCTAGAAAAGCCCTGTACCAAACTGAGAGGTGGTCCAGTCCTAGAAAAGCCCTGTACCAAACTGAGAGATGGCGCATTCCTAGAAAAGCCCTGTACCAAACTGAGAGATGGCGCAGTCCTAGAAAAGCCCTGTACCAAACTGAGAGATGGCGCAGTCCTAGAAAAGCCCTGTACCAAACTGAGAGGTGGTCCAGTCCTAGAAAAGCCCTGTACCAAACTGAGAGGTGGTCCAGCCCTAGAAAAGCCCTGTACCAAACTGAGAGGTGGTCCAGTCCTAGAAAAGCCCTGTACCAAACTGAGAGGTGGTCCAGTCCTAGAAAAGCCCTGTACCAAACTGAGAGGTGGTCCAGTCCTAGACAAGCCCTGTACCAAACTGAGAGGTGGTCCAGCCCTAGAAAAGCCCTGTACCAAACTGAGAGATGGCGCAGTCCTAGAAAAGCCCTGTACCAAACTGAGAGATGGCGCAGTCCTAGAAAAGCCCTGTACCAAACTGAGAGGTGGTCCAGTCCTAGAAAAGCCCTGTACCAAACTGAGAGGTGGTCCAGCCCTAGATAAGCCCTGTACCAAACTGAGAGGTGGTCCAGTCCTAGAAAAGCCCTGTACCAAACTGAGAGATGGCGCAGTCCTAGAAAAGCCCTGTACCAAACTGAGAGGTGGACCAGTCCTAGAAAAGCCCTGTACCAAACTGAGAGGTGGTCCAGCCCTAGAAAAGCCCTGTACCAAACTGAGAGGTGGTCCAGTCCTAGAAAAGCCCTGTACCAAACTGAGAGGTGGTCCAGTCCTAGAAAAGCCCTGTACCAAACTGAGAGGTGGTGCAGTCCTAGACAAGCCCTGTACCAAACTGAGAGATGGTCCAGTCCTAGAAAAGCCCTGTACCAAACTGAGAGGTGGTCCAGTCCTAGAAAAGCCCTGTACCAAACTGAGAGGTGGTCCAGTCCAGCTCCACAAATACTATCTTCCCCTCATGACAGCTAATTCTGAACTAATATGAACTCCAATACATATGGGTACTTAACTTGTTATATAAACCTGTTATGTGCTATTTGTCTATAACAACATGTTTTGCACTGATTATAAAAGTATAAAAGTGTCTGCTAAATGACTAAAATGTCATGTAAAATGTAGGTGACTTTCTCACTTATCATTGTCAGAAAGCAAAAATCACGAATGTGGTACTGTGCCTCTATATTTCCCACATTGAACGTGAGACACGTGTGGTTGTGTGTCATTCAACAGAGTCTGAAAGGCTGGAAAGAAATTAAACAAATATTCCAGAGAAGGTGAAAGAGAGGGATCCACCCAGAGAGAGACGGAGGATAGAAGGTGAAAGAGAGGGATCCACCCAGAGAGAGGATAGAAGGTGAAAGAGAGGGATCCACCCAGAGAGAGACGGAGGATAGAAGGTGAAAGAGAGGGATCCACCCAGAGAGAGGATAGAAGGTGAAAGAGAGGGATCCACCCAGAGAGAGGATAGAAGGTGAAAGAGAGGGATCCACCCAGAGGGAGGATAGAAGGTGAAAGAGAGGGATCCACCCAGAGAGAGGATAGAAGGTGAAAGAGAGGGATCCACCCAGAGGGAGGATATAAGGTGAAAGAGAGGGATCCACCCAGAGAGAGACTGAGGAAAGAAGGTGAAAGAGAGGGATCCACCCAGAGAGAGACGGAGGATAGAAGGTGAAAGAGAGGGATCCACCCAGAGAGAGGATAGAAGGTGAAAGAGAGGGATCCACCCAGAGAGAGACTGAGGAAAGAAGGTGAAAGAGAGGGATCCACCCAGAGAGAGGATAAAAGGTGAAAGAGAGGGATCCACCCAGAGAGAGGATAGAAGGTGAAAGAGAGGGATCCACCCAGAGAGAGGATAGAAGGTGAAAGAGAGGGATCCACCCAGAGAGAGGATAGAAGGTGAAAGAGAGGGATCCACCCAGAGAGAGACTGAGGAAAGAAGGTGAAAGAGAGGGATCCACCCAGAGAGAGGATAAAAGGTGAAAGAGAGGGATCCACCCAGAGAGAGGATAGAAGGTGAAAGAGAGGGATCTACCCAGAGAGAGGATAGAAGGTGAAAGAGAGGGATCCACCCAGAAGGAGGATAGAAGGTGAAAGAGAGGGATCCACCCAGGGAGAGACGGAGGATAGAAGGTGAAAGAGAGGGATCCACCCAGAGAGAGGATAGAAGGTGAAAGAGAGGGATCCACCCAGAAGGAGGATAGAAGGTGAAAGAGAGGGATCCACCCAGAGAGAGAAGGAGGATAGAAGGTGAAAGAGAGGGATCCACCCAGGGAGAGACGGAGGATAGAAGGTGAAAGAGAGGGATCCACCCAGGGAGAGACGGCGGATAGAAGAGGAGAACACTGAGTGTCCCTGAGCCAAGAACAACGACAACAACAACAATACAAGGAAACTATAGCCAGGGAACAGGATTAAAGGTCAATATGCTGGGCGGACCAATAAGATTCGAGGTGAGGGGAGAGCCAACAATGACTTCTGAAAACAATATTGTTTGCTACTGACAACAGCTGTGCTTTCTCAAAGCTCATTTTTGCACCATACATGTGGTTTGTTTGGCAACAGAAAAGTGTCTGCACAGATGTAGGATCTTAATTTGATCCAGTTTGCTACAGCAGGAAAATAATCCTGCAGCAACAGGAAATGTGAATTATTATGTGGATTATAATTAACTGACATTTTTTGTAGGGGTTGATACATTTTTCATTTGGGCAAATCAAGTCTGACGTTTTAAAGTGGAAATTACTAACTTTAGAAGCCTTTTTAAACCTTGAATACACTACAAGTTTGCAAATTCTCAGCAACAAAAGAGTGATCAAATTAAGATCCATCTGTTTGTTTTGAAATTGTGGTAAGTATATCCTCTTTGAATGTTGGCTAATCACACACACGCTGAATGATTAGAAGCTAGTTGTACTCACCACACCCTGCAGCGTAGGGGGGATCAGTCCACAGTACACTGGGATATAGGCGCTACAGACACAGGCCTGGATCAGAACACAACACATTATGATCAGTCCACAGTACACTGGGATATAGGCGCTACAGACACAGGCCTGGATCAGAACACAACACATTATGATCAGTCCACAGTACACTGGGATATAGGCGCTACAGACACAGGCCTGGATCAGAACACAACACATTATTATGAGTCCACAGTACACAGGCCTGGATCAGAACACAACACATTATGATGAGTCCACAGTACACAGGCCTGGATCAGAACACAACACATTATGATGAGTCCACAGTACACAGGCCTGGATCAGAACACAACACATTATTATGAGTCCACAGTACACAGGCCTGGATCAGAACACAACACATTATGATGAGTCCACAGTACACAGGCCTGGATCAGAACACAACACATTATGATGAGTCCACAGTACACAGGCCTGGATCAGAACACAACACATTATGATGAGTCCACAGTACACAGGCCTGGATCAGAACACAACACATTATTATGAGTCCACAGTACACAGGCCTGGATCAGAACACAACACATTATTATGAGTCCACAGTACACAGGCCTGGATCAGAACACAACACATTATGATGAGTCCACAGTACACAGACACAGGCCTGGATTAGAACAGACAACACACATTATTATCGTTAGACAACATCGCAACAACACAAATTAGCGTGTGTGTGTGTGTGTGTGTGTATATAACCGAGTAACACACTCTCATTCTGACATGAACTCAACAGGTCTGGATCCCAGTACTGTGTGTGCCTCGGACTCTCACTAGTTATGGCAGTTGATGTTTATGAGTGTTAGTACAGTTATCCATCAGACAGGTCAGAATGAATGTTTGTTCAGGTCCTACGTCTGAGTTTATGGGATGTGCCCACCGGTATGTAACTAATAGCTATGTGTCTCAGTATTCATGCCTATCAGTTTCAGTTAATAAAATAGCCTACTTTGGCAGCAAGTCACTACTTGAGACACTCACCCGCTCTAGTCAATGAGTCAGAAGGAGTAGCCTATTTCTGCAAGTCAATGTCTGGGTTTATGGTTATGAGATGAGATCATTGATGTATGTGTCTCAGTATTCATTTGAGACAGGTTCTATATAATGATATCCTCATTTGTATATTGAAACGTTGTGTTTTTTGGGGGGCACTAATAAAGGACTAAGGAGCAGCTAGGCTACATCCCGAGGGTGGACCCCTCATTTCCTTATCTACGTCAGATACTTTGTCACAGGGTTGGGGTCAATTCCATTTACATTTCAATTCCAGTCAATTCAGGATGTACGTTGAAATTCCAATTCCGATTCCCTTCAATTAGGCACATTTTGAATCAGAATTCTAATTTGGTTTACTTTCTGAATTGACTGGAATTTAAATGGAATTGACCTCAACCCTGCTTTGTCAGCAAGTCAGTGTTTGAGGTACGAGACCATCACCTGCACCAGCTCCTCCTTGCTGTTAAAGTGGGACACCAAGACGTTCTCTCCGTCAGTCACCCTGGTCAGTGATATGCCCAGCCTCCCAGTCGCGCGGTGGTGAGCATCGGGTGGCAGGGTTTTATACAGCATGTTACGCATGATCTTCACCAGGTTGAAGGAGGGGTGCATAGGCCCCAGGAAACGCTTCCGGGCATCCTTGGCCACATCAATGATGTTGGCACCTGCCTCGCCTGATGAGGAATCAAGAAGTGACAGAATAGTGTTAATGTCAGAGCTGGTCTATCGTTATAACGTGGTGGCATTATAACGGGCATTGCTATTGCTGGCAATTGGAAAAAAGACATAATGTGTACTCATTTCACAAGGATAATGTCAAGGAAAACAGGATGGGTAAGAGCATACAATTATCATACAGACAGTGCACAGGCAGGGCGAGGGACACAGCAAAGCCAGACTAGAAACTGACACACACACAGTGTCGAATTACTATGCGATAAGTGGAGGAAAGTTCAGCACTGCCTACCTAAACACGCTCCGCTGACCAGCGCAGAGGCGGTGAGCGCCCCAGCCGATGCCCCGTAGATGTGCCGGGCATTATGCACTAGAAACGGACACTGTTCCTGTAGACAGCTCGCTACACCGATATGATAGATCCCTAAGAAACCGCAACCTGCAAAGGAAATGTTCCATGTCGAATCTAGAGGAAACATAACTACTGAGGAAAACAATGCCTCTCAAACTCAAACAGAAAGCTCTGTAAAAGTTCACAGCTGTCGAGTTGGTTAACTACCTAACTAGCTGAAGTACTGGTAATACCACGGTCTTAAGCGTCCAAAATGTGTGGAAAAATATCAGCTATTGGTAACGGTCGTTCCCTTGCCGTCCATTATATTGCAATCCGATCTGTGTTCACATTGTTAACGTCAGCTAGCAAGTTCAACACTTGTCTGGCTGTCAACAAGTTGATTGTGTTCTAGTTCTTGAGGACATCTTCACCATTTCATATTCTTTAAAAGTTGTTTCTTAGTTTCTTCTATTTTGTAAGACAAGCTGCTTGTTGAAAACAGTAACTTAATTGTCCAAAAACAATAACTTTATCCAGACGAAACTGTTCAAAAGTCTGTCTTTGAAAGCTTTGTCCCGACCCTAATTGTCACTTTCTTTCCTCTGTCGCATTTGTACATTCCCGTGGATTTGACGTTTAATCCCAATGTCCAATCAGAAGCGTTATCCCTGAAACAGCCGTCCTATCAGTGTCTGAGTTCTCTGTGACCTCCGCTTCACCCTCTGTCAGCTGCGACTCGAAATGTTTTTGGTTTTCCAAGAGGGGCTTGCGGGTGTCCACTTTAGTAACGCGTATCTGTCACATTTTGTTATTTGATTTATTTCAACAGGGAAATCCCATTGAGCCCAAGGCATCTTTTACAAGGGAGCACATTTTGACAATATTATCTTGCTCTTGATTGTAATTGTTCAACAGATGGCATAATACTTTTATTCTAACTTAAACAATATTCATTTACTCTCGAGTTATACTCACTTTATACACGGGAATCTAATTGCTCTGTAATAAACTGTCTGTAAATGACAAAACAAAGGCAACAACGACCTCTAGGGAAAATAGATACATTCCACATCAGAAGGAATGTGTTTACATCGTTTAAAGACACAATTGGCAATAATATTGTTGTTTATAACCATTGGCCCACAAAAAAACTAGTCTGATTTGTGCATTGATGGGACTGTGTGTTTATCAAGAAAATAATCCACTCATTTTGGACTTGCTTTTGTTTACATTTGTTTAAATTATCTATGATCTTCCAAACAACAATTAATGTGATCACCCTGTTGCAGAATAACTTTCCTGCAATGCAGAACGTTTAAAACTTGTAGTGTATTTGAGGTTTAAAAAGTCTTCTGAAGTTTGTCATTTCCACTTTGAAATTTCAGACTTTAATTTTCACTTAGAAAAAAATGTATCAAGCCCTTCAAAAATGACCACATAATAATCCACATAATGATTCAGATTTCCTGTTATTGCAGGATTATTTTCCTGCTGTAGCAAACTGGCTCAAATTAAGATCCTACACCCGTATGGGTGCTGTGAAATATACTGTACATTTACCTATATATTTTTCACTACAGTATATATACATCGTTTTTGCATATTTGGAGTGTTATTAATGGCATGGAAAGAACAGAGCGTATGCAAGATATTTATATTTTATGAAACAATAGTGCATTGAACAACTGTAAAAACCTTGGGAACATTACCACATAGCCAAGTAACGTTTCTGCAATTCTCCAATGGATTATTTTAGGACATTAGCTTTAAAAACTCTTCACGGAACACATTCCTGCCAAGAATAACAACATCACATTTCATGGATTTGTTCCTAGATTGTTTTTAGCACATCTTGCACTAAGAGGATATCCTATTGTGAAACTAGCTTACTGTGACACACACACACACACACACACACACGCACGCACGCACGCACGCGCGCACACACACACACACACACACACACACACACACACACACACACACACACACACACACACACACACACACACACACACACACACACACACACACACACACACAGACAGACAGACAGACAGACAGACAGACACACACACACACACACACACACACACACACACACACACACACACACGCACACACATTATTTACCAATTACTCATCAACGGTTAGAAATGTAGCGAGAAATAGAAATGTTAGTGTCCTTAATCCTAATCTTGGCAACCCAGAACCACATCTCACGTGAACGCTGGCCCCTGGGGATCCATCATAAATACAAATACTGGATTTGGGCACAGACATTTGAATGTTTTCGTCTTTCATGTTGTTGGTGTTTACCACTAACAGTGACTCTGTCAAAGGTTCACCCCAGTGTTTATGCAAAGTCAGCAATAAGGGCAGAGATACTTGGTTTCTTCTATGGCCCTCAAATTCAAATCTGAACCTTAAAGACAGTTCCACTGCTTTTATGGGCAGGTGCAATTAATTATCAGGTAGAACAAAAACCAGCAGTACTCTGGACCTTCAGGGCAGGATTTGAATACCCCTGTTCTATGGTCTTCAGGGTAGGATTTCAATAACACCCTGTTCTATGGTCTTCTTGTAAAGACCTGACTCCAAGTAACCCAAGACCACTTTTATAGGACTGATGTGAGCAGCGCTCAAAGCTGACAACCACTTCTGCAAGAATATCAATACACGGCATACATATCAGCCTAGGTAGGCTATACATTCAGGAAATGAACACACTGAAGAGAGATACGTTATGCCTTTGACAAAGAAGAAAATAGATAAAGTTGTGTTTATCAGGTAAAAGTAATAGACACATTATCAGGGACCAGGGACACGTCATTATTCCTGTGTTTACCAGAGATAACTCTTCTGACTACTCTGAAAGTTATTGATTAAAGCATCTGGAAAGCCTGGCATTTTCCCAGTATTCCCTAGCCTGGTCCCATATCTGTTTGTGCTGTTTTTTTTTCCAACCCCCGATGTCACACGAATATTTATATTTTATTTTATATGTCAACAAACAAACAGATAGAAAAGGCAATTTGCAAGTGAGAGTGATGCGGGATAAAGAGAGTCGAAAGTGAGAGTTTAAACGTGTCACTGTCCCTTTAAGATGAATCACTGGCTCTGTTTGGCTCATTGGTCTGGCTGATGACAACGCAATCTTTTTGAAAAAGGTGTAGCCACGGTCACCAAAGGAAGTATTGAACCTTGCACTTTATAATAGATACATCTCGCGTAGAAGAGAAACAGTGGTTATCGTTGTGTGAACGCAAACATTACTGCACGGTACAGTACATTTGTTAAATCTATAGCTAGCTTGTTCCGTGAACTTTCAAGTGGCATAGTAATCAAAGCTGTTAGCTAATGTTAGCTAGTTGCTAACTAGGCTAGCCAGCGGTAGATTCCTATGTTTGCACGACCAGATGTTGTAGCCATGAGAGTTAGCTATCTATTTACTAAGAACATTCTAATATTTCACCATTACTGTCATACAATCACATTGAGACATTTTACCTAAATAAACATAGCTATGTAACGTTATGTTGTTAGCTATGCGTTTACAGTCAGTGAGGTATAGGCTATGTTCTTGTACTAGCTAGGCAATCAATGTTCTGGGAATACTGTATATCCTAGGTCGCTCAAGTCCCAACATGCCCAAGTACAGCGGGGCAGCAGGTGCCCCTTGAAGATTGGCCCGTCTAATAAATGAGAAAAAGAAAGGTGTTAGGATTTAAATTGAACACCTTCACAAAACAAGGTCCCCCCTGAGAGAAGAGGTGTGAGATGGAGAGGAAGAAGAAGAAGAAGAAGAGAGAATGGAGGAGAGGAAAAGGACAAGAGAAAGAGGTGGATGAGAATCAAGCCGGTGGTGGAGAGACGGGGACTGGAGGACGGGGAGATGGAACTGTGGAGACGGGACAGATGAGGAATAAGAGTGTCAATAGAACAACACACCTTCCCTTAGATAAGATGGCCCACCATCTTGGAGAGGGACTGTCATGTAGGGAAGCACAGACTGAGGGAGAGACTGCTAGTGTGTCGGCAATTAGAAACAAAGAAGAAGGTGGAATTCAAATGGGGATGATGATGATGATGAAGGACATGAGTAAAGGACTGATAACAGTCATGGACCAAGATGATGATGATGATGATGATGATGATGATGATGACCCTGCCTCCATCCCTCCTCCTCCCTCTATCTCTCCATCTCTATCCGTCAGCCTCATGGACACCTGGCCTCCCTCCATCTCCTCCCTCTCATCCCCCTCTCCCTCCCTCCTCCCTCCTCCTCTCTCCTCCTCTTTCTCTCCCGTCCCGTCCCTCACCCCTCCCCTGCCCCCGTCCGTAGAGCTGTGTGCTGTGCTCACCGACACTAGACTGACTCTGGACGTGTACCAGGGTGGGGCTGCTGTGCTCCAGTTGCTATGGGTGTCTGTCCCTGGGCAGCTGAGGGGCCTGCAGTACCTCCGACTGGGCTCGGAGGACAGGGGGGCGCTAGAAGGAGCCCTGGATGTCCTACCGCACCTCACACAGCTACGCTCACTGGCTATCAGAGGTACTGAGTACTAATGGACTGGACAGTGCTGAATGCTGATACATTCATTAATGCTGTATAACGTGCTTGTAAACTAACATTTGATAGATTCAGATTGATTGTTTAGTAGAACATCAGACCCACAGTATAGCACATAGTATAAACACTGCAACGTTATCATACAATGTGTCTTTACATGTTAATAATTATGTTGGTCTTTTCTCCCCCTTTTCAATAACTTGTCCCTTGTTCTTGTCTGTCCTCTCTCTCCTCCTGTCTGTCCTCTCTCTCCTCCTGTATGTCCTCTCTCTCCTCCTGTCTGTCCTCTCTCTCCTGTCTGTCTGTCCCCTCTCTCCTCCTGTCTGTCCTCTCTCTCTTCCTTTCTGTCCTGTCTGTCCTCTCTCCTCCTGTCTGTCCTCTCTCCTCCTGTCTGTCCTCTCTCTCCTCCTGTCTGTCCTCTCTCTCCTCCTGTCTGTCCTCTCTCCTCCTGTCTGTCCCCTCTCTCCTGTAATCTGTCCCCTCTCTCCTCCTGTCTTTCCTCTCTCTCTTCCTGTCTGTCCTCTCTCTCCTGTCTGTCTGTCCTCTCTCTCCTCCTGTCTGTCATCTCTCCTCCTTTCTGTCTCCTCCTGTCTGTCCTCTCTCTCCTGTATGTCCTCTCTCTCCTCCTGTCTGTCCTCTCTCCCCTCCTGTCTGTCCTCTCTCCTCCTGTCTGTCCTCTCTCTCCTCCTGTCTGTCCTCTTTCTCTCTCCTGTCTGTCCTCTCTCTCCTGTCTGTCCTCTCTCTCCTCCTGTCTGTCCTCTCTCTCCTCCTGTCTGTCCTCTCTCTCTTCCTGTCTGTCCTCTCTCTCCTCCTGTCTGTCCTCTCTCTCCTCCTGTCTGTCCTCTCTCTCCTCCTGTCTGTCCTCTCTCTCCTCCTGTTTGTCCTCTCTCTCCTCCTGTCTGTCCTCTCTCTCCTCCTGTCTGTCCTCTCTCCTCCTTTCTGTCTCCTCCTGTCTGTCCTCTCTCCTCCTGTCTGCCTCTCTCTCCACCTTCCTGTCTCCTCCTGTCTGTCCTCTCTCTCTCTCCTCCTGTCTGTCCTCTCTCTCTCTCCTCCTGTCTGTCCTCTCTCTCCATGCCTGCTCATCTTCTGACTCTTCCTCAGGACACTGTTTCCATGATGCCCATGGTGACCCCCTCCCCGGCCTCCTCACCTCTCTCCCTCCCTCTCTCTCATCCCTCTCGCTCCTCGTCCACCTGGACCTCTCCTTCAACCACCTTTCCTCCTTCCCCCCCTGCCTCCTCACCCTCCCCCTCCTCTCCACCCTCCTCCTGGGTCACAACCACCTCACTGAACTCCCCCCCTCCTTGCCTCCCTTCGGTCCTCTCTCCTACTTGTCCTCCCTTTCCGGGGGGTTTTAATTTGTGGTATTATCAGTTTTCTAAATCATTCCTTAGTTAATCATCCTTGTCCCCTAACCATGAACACGCATCCAGAGCTGCACCTTGCTGACAGTATGTCCTGCAGAAACATTCTACTTTGACTTGATGGATCTTTGATCGATACCTATTTGCACAGAAGCTGATCTCTGATATCAACACGTTGTTCTTGTTAGTTCATTAAAGCAAGATTGTTACCTCCCCTCAGTTCTGTGTGTCATCTGCGTGTCATGTCCTCAGGGGGCAGAGCTACTGTTTCCCTCGGGTTGCCTAGCGACAACCACCAGACTGCAGTGGGCGGAGCGTATGCCAGATAAGAAATGGGTGTGGCTAGAGGAGCATGACTTCCTGCTGAGTCGACCACTGGAACTCCTCCCACACAGGATCACCTTTTTAAAGGTAGCCTAGAGACGTATCATACACATGATTGTTAATGTTGGTGGTAAGATATCAATGAAAAGAACAGTAGGTTTACACACAAAGTAGACAGACTCCAATATCATCTTTTCAGGAGTTTTAAATGTATTATTTATTGCAGCATACAGACATTTGGGACAAAGCCTTTTTCAGTGTGTATCTACGATCTTCTCATTGGTCTCTCAACTACTCTGCTACTCATCTTCTTTCTGAACATATTCCTTCCTTCTCTCCTCTCTCCTCTCTTCTCTCTTCTCTCTTCTCTCTCTGTCTCCTCTCCTCTCCTCTCCTCTCCTCTCCTCTCCTCTCCTCTCCTCTCCTCTCCTCTCCTCTCCTCTCCTCTCCTCTCCTCTCCTCTCCTCTCCTCTCCTCTCCTCTCCTCTCCTCTCCTCTCCTCTCCTCTCCTCTCCTCTCCTCTCCTCTCCTCTCCTCTCCTCTCCTCTCCTCTCCTCTCCTCTCCTCTCCTCTCCTCTCTAGCCTGTGGAGGTGTGTGTGCCGTACCACCGTTCCAGGAGAGGGGAGGTGGTTGTGAGGAGGTTTGATGGACAGCAGTGGAGTACACTATCCACTGAGACCAGGAGGGGCAGTATAGGACACAGCATCCACCCTGGGGGACGACCCGCCAGGGTACAGAACAGAACACTGCTTTATAATACGGCCATGCTAGAAAATAGGATCAACTTCCGTCCCCAATCCCGAACCCATCCCTAGACCCTATGTCCTATTCACTTCTGAAGATCTGAGATTTGGAGAGAGAGATCTGTATTTGATTGTTAGCGATATGGTTCCACCTTGCTGTCTGATGTGCTGGGTTGATGCTTTTGCTTATACCAAACAAACCCTGTCCGACCTCCAGAAGCGTATCAGGCGTAAGATTGAGGTTTTGATTTGTTCAACAGTCAAAAATCGCCCATGTCTCTCTCTGTCTGTCTGTATAATAATTAGCTCTTAATTGACTTGCCTAAGTTAAAGAAATGTTAAATAAAAAATAAAAAAATAACAAGTCTGTCCCCATAGCTGGCCTGCGTATCAGTGATCCAGTTCTCCTGGTTTGTGGCAGTGGGTCGTCCAGTCAGGGACAGTTGCTCTGTGACACCAGAGGGGGCGCTGTTGGTGTCACGTACGGACGCAGGCATCAAACTCACCTTCCCCCCTGCCTCCACTGTCCAGACCCGCACCATCACTCTACAGGTACAGGCCGGTATTCAGAGGACCAGACAGTGGTTCCCCCAGAGAGCATTGTTTGTTAGAACGTGCTAAAACAATACTAACTAGTAGCCTCTGTGTTTTGGACACGTTTACGATGCTAATCTTTTCAGCAGTGGGGTATGTAGTTCCAATCCCTGCTCACTCTCCTGTGTCTGCAGGTGTTACAGGTGTCTGTCTCTGAGGTCCAGGCGTTGTGTGGAGACCCTCAGACAAGAGTCAGTCCCCTTCTCTGTCTCTCTCAGGACCCCAGCATGCAATTCCTCCAGCCAATCAAGGTGCAGGTCCCTCTGCCAACTGGACTCACAGGTAGGCTACTGGGTCCTGTTTGAAAACGGTTCAACGCTTTTATTCCTTCCTCTCCACCTTGGATCAGTCAGTGATCTGACATGAGTGGAGAGGTGAGAGCAAAACATTTACTTCACACGGCTTTCACCCATCTAGCTGTGTCAGATGAGTGATTACTCCAAGGAAGGAAGGATCAATTTTCTAAGTATTGGAACGAGGCCCTGTATTCACTTCCTTAAGTATTTGAACCATATTTATAACAGGCTATAATGCTACTTTTAATGAGCTGAGCATGTTCTCTCCCTTTACCTGCTGGTTGTTAAACAGTAGACCTGTCCTGTCTCCATGGCGACCACAGCGCTACCTTTATTCATTTAACCATGTTGTTGTTGTTCCAGGACATACAGTAGACCTGTCCTGTCTCCATGGCGACCACAGCGCTACCTTTATTCATTTTAACCATGTTGTTGTTGTTCCAGGACATACAGTAGACCTGTCCTGTCTCCACCTGCTCCATGGAGACCCCAGCGCCCACACCTGGACAGACATCACCTCACAGGTGTCTCTCTATGTCACACACCTCTACGCTATCTTCTACATCACTCACTTCTCCTGGTGAGTTCCTATTATTCCAGACCACATGAACACACAGCTTTACAGTAGGAATGCCTAGTTATTCCAGACCAAATGAACACACAGCTTTACAGTAGGAATGTCTAGTTATTCCAGACCACATGAACACACAGCTTTACAGTAGGAATGCCTAGTTATTCCAGACCACATGAACACACAGCTTTACAGTAGGAATGCCTAGTTATTCCAGACCACATGAACACACAGCTTTACAGTAGGAATGCCTAGTTATTCCAGACCACATGAACACACAGCTTTACAGTAGGAATGTCTAGTTATTCCAGACCACATGAACACACAGCTCTACAGTAGGAATGTCTAGTTATTCCAGACCACATGAACACACAGCTTTACAGTAGGAATGCCTAGTTATTCCAGACCACATGAACACACAGCTTTAAAGTAGGAATGGCTAGTTATTCCAGACCAAATGAACACACAGCTTTACAGTAGGAATGGCTAGTTATTCCAGACCACATGAACACACAGCTTTACAGTAGGAATGCCTAGTTATTCCAGACCACATGAACACACAGCTTTACAGTAGGAATGTCTAGTTATTCCAGACCACATGAACACACAGCTTTACAGTAGGAATGTCTAGTTATTCCAGACCACATGAACACACAGCTTTACAGTAGGAATGCCTAGTTATTCCAGACCAAATGAACACACAGCTTTACAGTAGGAATGTCTAGTTATTCCAGACCACATGAACACACAGCTTTACAGTAGGAATGTCTAGTTATTCCAGACCACATGAACACACAGCTTTACAGTAGGAATGTCTAGTTATTCCAGACCACATGAACACACAGCTTTACAGTAGGAATGTCTAGTTATTCCAGACCACATGAACACACAGCTTTACAGTAGGAATGGCTAGTTATTCCAGACCACATGAACACACAGCTTTACAGTAGGAATGCCTAGTTATTCCAGACCACATGAACACACAGCTTTACAGTAGGAATTCCTAGTTATTCCAGACCACATGAACACACAGCTTTACAGTAGGAATGGCTAGTTATTCCAGACCACATGAACACACAGCTTTACAGTATGAATGGCTAGTTATTCCAGACCACATGAACACACTGCTTTACAGTAGGAATGGCTAGTTATTCCAGACCACATGAACACACAGCTTTACAGTAGGAATGCCTAGTTATTCCAGACCACATGAACACACAGCTTTACAGTAGGAATGCCTAGTTATTCCAGACCACATGAACAAGACCACATGAACAGACAGCTTTATAGTAGGAATGCCTAGTTGTTCCAGACCACATGAACACACAGCTTTACAGTAGGAATGCCTAGTTATTCCAGACCACATGAACACACAGCTTTACAGTAGGAATGCCTAGTTATTCCAGACCACATGAACACACAGCTTTACAGTATGAATGGCTAGTTATTCCAGACCACATGAACACACAGCTTTACAGTAGGAATGCCTAGTTATTCCAGACCACATGAACACACAGCTTTACAGTAGGAATGCCTAGTTATTCCAGACCACATGAACACACAGCTTTACATTATGAATGGCTAGTTATTCCAGACCACATGAACACACAGCTTTACAGTAGGAATGGCTAGTTATTCCAGACCACATGAACACACAGCTTTACAGTAGGAATGCCTAGTTATTCCAGACCACATGAACACACAGCTTTACAGTAGGAATGCCTAGTTATTCCAGACCACATGAACACACAGCTTTACTGTAGGAATGAGTGGCGCAGTGGTCTGAGTGGCGCAGTGGTCGCAGTGGTCTGAGTGGCGCAGTGGTCTAAGGCACTGCATCGCAGTGCTAACTGTGCTACTAGAGATCCTGGTTCGAATCCAGGCTCTGTCGCAGCCGGCCGCGACCGGGAGATTCATGGGCGGCGCACAATTGGCCCAGCGTCGTCCAGGGTAGGGGAGGGAATGGCCGGCAGGGATGTAGCTCAGTTGATAGAGCATGGCGTTTGCAACGCCAGGGTTGTGGGTTCGTTTCCCATGGGGGGCCAGTATAAAAAAAAAAAAAAAAAAATGTATTCACTAACTGTAAGTCGCTCTGGATAAGAGCGTCTGCTAAATGACTAAAATGTAATGTAAAAATGAATGCCTAGTTATTCCAGACCACATGAACAAGACCACATGAACACACAGCTTTACAGTAGGAATGCCTAGTTATTCCAGACCACATGAACACACAGCTTTACAGTAGGAATTCCTAGTTATTCCAGACCACATGAACACACAGCTTTACAGTAGGAATGGCTAGTTATTCCAGACCACATGAACACACAGCTTTACAGTATGAATGGCTAGTTATTCCAGACCACATGAACACACTGCTTTACAGTAGGAATGGCTAGTTATTCCAGACCACATGAACACACAGCTTTACAGTAGGAATGCCTAGTTATTCCAGACCACATGAACACACAGCTTTACAGTAGGAATGCCTAGTTATTCCAGACCACATGAACACACAGCTTTACAGTAGGAATGCCTAGTTATTCCAGACCACATGAACAAGACCACATGAACAGACAGCTTTATAGTAGGAATGCCTAGTTGTTCCAGACCACATGAACACACAGCTTTACAGTAGGAATGCCTAGTTATTCCAGACCACATGAACACACAGCTTTACAGTAGGAATGCCTAGTTATTCCAGACCACATGAACACACAGCTTTACAGTATGAATGGCTAGTTATTCCAGACCACATGAACACACAGCTTTACAGTAGGAATGCCTAGTTATTCCAGACCACATGAACACACAGCTTTACAGTAGGAATGCCTAGTTATTCCAGACCACATGAACACACAGCTTTACATTATGAATGGCTAGTTATTCCAGACCACATGAACACACAGCTTTACAGTAGGAATGGCTAGTTATTCCAGACCACATGAACACACAGCTTTACAGTAGGAATGCCTAGTTATTCCAGACCACATGAACACACAGCTTTACAGTAGGAATGCCTAGTTATTCCAGACCACATGAACACACAGCTTTACTGTAGGAATGCCTAGTTATTCCAGACCACATGAACAAGACCACATGAACACACAGCTTTACAGTAGGAATGCCTAGTTGTTCCAGACCACATGAACACACAGCTTTACAGTAGGAATGTCTAGTTATTCCAGACCACATGAACACACAGCTTTACAGTAGTAATGTCTAGTTATTCCAGACCACATGAACAAGACCACATGAACACACAGCTTTACAGTAGGATTGGCTAGTTATTCCAGACCACATGAACACACAGCTTTACAGTAGGAATGGCTAGTTATTCCAGACCACATGAACACACAGCTTTACAGTAGGAATGGCTAGTTATTCCAGACCACATGAACACACAGCTTTACAGTAGGAATGTCTAGTTATTCCAGACCACATGAACACACAGCTTTACAGTAGGAATGCCTAGTTATTCCAGACCACATGAACACACAGCTTTACAGTAGGAATGGCTAGTTATTCCAGACCACATGAACACACAGCTTTACAGTAGGAATGCCTAGTTATTCCAGACCACATGAACACACAGCTTTACAGTAGGAATGTCTAGTTATTCCAGACCACATGAACACACAGCTTTACAGTAGGAATGTCTAGCGGTGTAGACGGCGCTTTAACTCACATGAGACGAGGTGCAGCCCCAAAAATCTTCTTGAACAATCTTCCTAAGAGTACGGTCTTCTGTCATCGATCCCGAGGCTGAACATTGTTACGTTTAATATTGTTCCTCTACCCTAGCTGGACTGGCTGTGGCACACCACACGGCAGTGTGCGAGCGGTGCAGTCTGTACGGTGTACCAAACATTGAAGCGGTTTCTTTTGGCTACGTGTGTTAAATAGTTTGTGTGTATATTTATGTCATTATTATAGGTACTGGCTTTGGTACACTACACAGCGCTGTGTTAGTGGTGTGGTCCGTAGGGTCTACCAGAGACTGAAGCAATTTCAGGTCCAGTTTCTGGTGCTACAGAGGAGAACGGACCCCAAACAGGTTCTGCTACAGTGCCTGCCTGCTGACAAGGTGGGTCTGATCAATCAAGCCATCCATTCATCCATCCATTTATTGATCTTGAGTCTGAAATTGATGATCTGTGTGGTAAGTGTTGGAGAGGAGAACCAACCCCAAACAGGTTCTGCTACAGTGCCGGCCATACCAACAAGGTGGGTCTGTATATAAGATAAGCGACCAAGGACAGTCGGTGTTACAGCATCACTTACTGAGATAAGAGACCAAGGACAGTCAGTGTTACAGCAGCATCACTTACTGAGATAAGAGACCAAGGACAGTCAGTGTTACAGCAGCATCACTTACTGAGATAAGAGACCAAGGACAGTCGGTGTTACAGCATCACTTATTGAGATAAGAGACCAAGGACAGTCAGTGTTACAGCATCACTTACTGAGATAAGAAACCAAGGACAGTCAGTGTTACAGCAGCATCACTTACTGAGATAAGAGACCAAGGACAGTCAGTGTTACAGCAGCATCACTTACTGAGATAAGAGACCAAGGACAGTCGGTGTTACAGCAGTGTCACTTACTGAGATAAGAGACCAAGGACAGTCAGTGTTACAGCATCACTTACTGAGATAAGAGACCAAGGACAGTCAGTGTTACAGCATCACTTACTGAGATAAGGGACCAAGGACAGTCAGTGTTACAGCAGCATCACTTACTGAGATAAGAGACCAAGGACAGTCAGTGTTACAGCATCACTTACTGAGATAAGAGACCAAGGACAGTCGGTGTTACAGCATCACTTACTGAGATAAGAGACCAAGGACAGTCGGTGTTACAGCATCACTTACTGAGATAAGAGACCAAGGACAGTCGGTGTTACAGCATCACTTACTGAGATAAGAGACCAAGGACAGTCGGTGTTACAGCAGCATCACTTACTGAGATAAGAGACCAAGGACAGTCAGTGTTACAGCAGCATCACTTACTGAGATAAGAGACCAAGGACAGTCAGTGTTACAGCAGCATCACTTACTGAGATAAGAGACCAAGGACAGTCAGTGTTACAGCATCACTTACTGAGATAAGAGACCAAGGACAGTCAGTGTTACAGCATCACTTACTGAGATAAGAGACCAAGGACAGTCAGTGTTACAGCAGCATCACTTACTGAGATAAGAGACCAAGGACAGTCAGTGTTACCGCATCACTTACTGAGATAAGAGACCAAGGACAGTCAGTGTTACAGCAGCATCACTTACTGAGATAAGAGACCAAGGACAGTCAGTGTTACAGCAGCATCACTTACTGAGATAAGAGACCAAGGACAGTCGGTGTTACAGCATCACTTACTGAGATAAGAGACCAAGGACAGTCGGTGTTACAGCATCACTTACTGAGATAAGAGACCAAGGACAGTCAGTGTTATAGCAGCATCACTTACTGAGATAAGAGACCAAGGACAGTCAGTGTTACAGCAGCATCACTTACTGAGATAAGAGACCAAGGACAGTCAGTGTTACAGCATCACTTACTGAGATAAGAGACCAAGGACAGTCAGTGTTACAGCATCACTTACTGAGATAAGAGACCAAGGACAGTCAGTGTTACAGCAGCATCACTTACTGAGATAAGAGACCAAGGACAGTCAGTGTTACCGCATCACTTACTGAGATAAGAGACCAAGGACAGTCAGTGTTACAGCAGCATCACTTACTGAGATAAGAGACCAAGGACAGTCAGTGTTACAGCAGCATCACTTACTGAGATAAGAGACCAAGGACAGTCAGTTGCTGTAACAAATGCATAGTGCATCAGACTTTCTACTGCAAGTTTTAGAAGTGCAGGAATGTTAGAAGATCCACTGTGTGTTGATGACATGTGTACAGTAAATGTCTGATGTACCATATGACAACGTGTACAGGTGGACAACAGAGTACAGTCTCTATCAGAGCAGTACGACGGCCCACAGCCCTCAGACCTGTGTGACCTGCTGGAGGGAGAGCAGTTCTTCGCTGGCTTCGAGAGGGGCCTAGACGTCAGCGCAGGTACATTGGAAATTATAAATGTTAGATACAATTTGAACTACGTCTTCCTGGTGAAATACTACAACATCCTCTGTCTCCCAGACAGGCCAGACTGTGCAGAAGGGAGACTGTCTTTTGTGTTCTACTCTCGGTTGAGGAATCTCAAAGAGGTGTACGTCTGTCCTGCACAGAACCAGGAGGGGCCCGTCAGGGGACAGGTGAGAGACTAGTGACCGCTGACAAAAGGGGGTGTGGTAGATACAGACATTTTATGAATAATGTATCATAAATGGTTATAAGTGCTTTTATAGGTAAGGGATAAACGCCAACGTTCAGTACATTACCTTGGAGATAATGGACAACGCAGTTAGTTACATTATTAGTTCCTAAGATATTGTGCGGAACAGAGGCGTTTATCCCGCTTATACCACAGTTGACAGAGAAAACAATACTAAAGCAGACATTTACCGCTAGAAATAACACGTTTTCGTTGATATTTTCATTTTGACAAGTACATTCGTACTTTTTCATCCTCCCACCAAACCTGGTTGTTAGTTATATTGGTTAGGGTGCTGTTAGGGTTAACCCCATTTAGTCCACTGGTCGATTGGCTGTTGGTCGACCAAGATTTATTTATTCAAGCAGTGGCAAATATATATACACTACCGTTGAAACGTTTTGGATCACTTAGAAATGTCCTTGTTTTCGAAAGAAAATGATTTTTTTTTAACATCAAATTTATTAGAAATACAGTGTAGACATTGTTAATGTTGTAAATGGCCATTGTAGCTGGAAACGGCTGATTTTTAATGGAATATCTACATAGGCATACAGAGGCCCATTATCAGCAACCATCAGTCCTGTGTTCCAATGGCACGTTGTATTTGCTAATCCAAGTTTATCATTTTAAAAAGGATAATTGATCATTAGAAAACCCTTTTACATTTATGTTAGCACAGCTGAAAACTGTTGTGCTGATTAAAGAAGCATTAAAACTGGCCTTCTTGAGACTAGTTGAGTATCTGGAGCATCAGCAATTGTGGGTTCGATTACAGGCTCAAAATGGCCAGAATCAAATAACTTTCTTCTGAAACTCGTCAGCCTATTCTTGTTCTGAGAAATGAAGGCTATTCAATGAGAGAAATTGCCAAGAAACTGAAGATCTCGTACAACGCTGTGTACTACTCCCTTCACAGAACAGCACAAACTGGCTCTAACCAGAATAGAAAGAGGAGTAGGAGGCCCCGGTGCACAACTGAGCAAGAGGACAAATACCTTAGAGTGTCTAGTTTGAGAAACAGGCGCCTCACAGGTCCTCAACTGGCAGCTTCATTAAATAGTACCCGCAAAACACCAGTCTCAACGTCAACAGTGAAGAGGCGACTCCGGAATGCTGACCTTCTAGGCAGAGTTGCAAAGAAAAAGCCATATCTCAGACTGGCCATCTTAATCTTTTCTTTTTATTGGCCAGTCTGAGATATGGCAATGCTGTTCTGTGATTCACGCCTGTCTGAATGGACTAATCCATTGCGGAGGCCACGGGGATGGCTCACCAGTAATTTACCGTTAATTACCATAATTGTTTGGTTATTGTAATGTCTGTTAATGCATTCAATATATTATTATTACAGTCTTGCCGTTGTCGTTGTCGGAGTGGACACGTTGTTTGCAGAGCGCACATCCTAGGCTACACTTCTGAGGAAAAAGTTTTGGTTTATTTCATACCATTTACAAGTTGTCAATTTATTCATTGTCTTTTGTTTGGAGCGCTCCTGTCAATCACACACCTGATTTACGCATAGAACTAGGCCTAGGATACCTGACCTGAGTGTAATAAATGTGCCCAGGAATCAGTGGCTAACTGCAAGCGTTGCAAAGCAATCACTAGCCTGCTATTCAGGCCCTTAATCCAAGTCTGGGATTAAGGGTCTCTTTTCCAAGCTTAAAAGGATAAACATGCCATGGGCCAGAAAAGGTTGAATACATTGGCCATGCTGTCAATCCAGCATGACTTCTCCCACGTTCAAAACAACTGGAAACTCGGATTCTGTTCTGAATTCTGTCGCTGTACATTTCAAAAGTGATGAAAAAATAGTTAGTAACAAATAGTTTCTGTAACTGCGCGCAAATGTAGGCTTATAAATGTGCCCATTTGGGGATCTCTGTCTTAACTCGCCATCGCTGTGGAGCTTCTCAAAGTCATTTTTTCTTCGCCTCAAAAAAGCAAGTAAACAAAGTCTTTTTTTTTTTTTTTTTTACATCCATTGAGAATGACAATAGTTCCTCACCATAGCCTATTTGAAAAATCTTTCCAGCTCTCTCCCTTTCGATAACCACTCAGCATGAAAGGGGAAAAAAATGTAATGCTCTAATCCGTTGGAAATGTCATAGAGAAGGCTGATTCAGTGGCGACCCGTCATTCAGGGCAGGTAGGGCAGAGCCTGTTTAGCGAAACAAAAATGTTGTTGGGGCATTAATACGTGTCACATATCAGTTTGCAAACAATGTAAAAAATAAATAAAACATCTTTGAGTTAATAAAGCTGCATACAAACATGGTCTCTTTTTTGCTTTCTTGAGTAAAGCAGCTCCAAAATGGAGGTGTTTCAGCCTATCTCAGTGTTTTCTGTGGTGGTGGTGGTGGGGCAGCCTGGGGAAAATACGGAGTGTAGGGGGTTGGTAATGTTGTCTAGTTGCGTCGTGATTGGCTCAGTGTTCTGTCACTCATGAGGACACTACGTCACCGCAAAATCTACGGGGAGAGCTCGAAAATTCAAGCCCCTTGCGTGCTGCCATAGATTTACATTAGAAGTGCGCATCCAAGAAGGATCAAGGTCATTGGCCACAGATAAAATGACGTCACATCACGTTATATCTACCGTAGCTTTGATTGGACTGATCATGTCAACATCATCCTTTCAAAATCTTAGCTAGACAAGCAGTCATCATCATGAATCAAGTCGACAATCTACTGGCAAATCCTTTTCAATCCTTGTCATATGAAGATAAATCATAGATAAAACGTATCGGTGCTCATCGGCCATTGGACATAAACATGACACAACAAGTCGGAAATCGCTAATTGAACAATGAGTGGTTTGGAAGGAATTCTGTCGCTGTACATTTCAAAAGTGATGAAAAAATAGTTAGTAACGAATAGTTTCTGGAACTTTGTAGAAAGTACGGTCTGCGTGGTGCAGTGGTTTAGAAAGGCATAAAGGCACCTGTTGTTGAAGCTACTTCAGATCTGTCCCGTATATTGAAATGTAATGCCCATTCTAGAATGCCCTTTTAGCCAATCAGAAACGAGTATTCAACAACGCTGTGGTATAAATGATTATAAATGTTTCGAAATGGTTGAAATTTAGATGATATACGCAGTAGGGATTTAAAATACCATAGTTTTAAAAAACAGACGTTTCAGTATTTAAAGACTATTCTATCAGAAGTAATCTCTTATCTCTCCTCTCCAGGTGTCGTTCTACCGAGGTGAGGTTCCCAGTGACCTACCAAAGGAAGTGGCCAGGAAAAGGAAAGGACACGACAGCCAATGGCTGGCCACCTTACCACTCAGACTTCCTGTAAGTGAGAACAACAGCCAGTGGCTTTTTAAACCTCAAAAGTACTCCTGCAACAGGGTGATCAAATTAAGATCCTACATCTGTATAGCCAGCTTCTATGTTTGGCCTGGTGTGACAGTGACCAAAGGAGTTGGGCTATTCAGCACAAACAGATCTGGGAATCACACAAACTGCTTGTGAAGTCTTTATTTTCCAAAGCGTCAGGAGATGTCAGATGTTTACCCAGTACCACTATCCTTTGTAAACTTTAATCCTTTCATTTTCATTTCTCTCCTTCCTTCCTCTTCTCTTGGCTGGGATTCAAACCAACACATCTGTGCTGAGCAATAGACTTTTAAAGGTAATTTCCCCTGATTTCCCCATGGGTTATGGAGACCGCTGTTGACATTTTGACTCTGCGGGTGTTGGCTCAAACATAAAATCACCTTCATCAACATAAATCATCAGAAGTCAATCGCAGTACACAGGTTGTTTGTCTGCGTTCGTTTGAATCCTAGCCTCTGTTTCTCTACTTTACTGTACTGTGTTAGGTTTATTTTACAGGGACAAAATAGAGTTTTACAAAGCATATGCCTCTTATGTTGAGGATGTTTAAACATTCTATTGAACCTCGCAGACTCCCGGAGTTTTTATCTCCCTAATATTAAAGAAAGATAAAGAAGTAATCTTCATATCTTCCTTTTGCCCTCCTCGAATGCGACCTTAAGATGTTTACTAAAATACTTGCAAACAGACTAAATAAATGCATTTCGACTATAATTCATCATGACAAAACTGGTTTTAATCCCAGGCAGATTTTTCATTTTCCAACGTTAGGCGACTGACGAATATCATGTGTTCCAAACATGACAAAGATTCTAAAGTTGCCATTCTTGACTCTCAAAAAGCTTTTTGACCAAGTAGAATGGAACTACATTCTGACCGTGATAAATAAGTTTGGTGTGTGCGAGAGTTTTGTCTCTTGGGTTGATATCCTATACTGAACAACATGCAACAATTTCAACGATTTTACTGAGTTATAGTTCATACAAGGAAATGAATCCATTGAAATAAATAAATTAGGCCCTAATCTATGGATTTCGCATGACTGGGCAGGGGCGGAGCCACGGGGGGTCCTGGGAGGGCATAGGCCCACCGACTTGGGAGCCAGGCCCACCCACTGGAGAGCCAGGCCCAGCCAATCAGAATGAGATTTTCCCCACAAAAGGGCTTTATTCCAGACAGAAATACTCCTCAGTTTCATCAGCTGTCCGGGTGGCTGGTCTCAGATGATCCCGCAGGTGAAGAAGCTTGATGTGGATGTCCTGGGCTGGCGTGGATACACGTGGTCTGTGGTTTTAAGGCTGGTTGACATACTGCCAAATTCTCTAAAACAACATTGGATGCAGTTTATGGTAGAGAAATGAACATTCAATTATCTGGCAACAGCTCTGGTGGACAATTCCTGCAGTCAGCATGCAAATTGCACGCTCCCTCAAAACTTGAGACATCTGTGGCATTGTGTGACAAAACTGCACATTAATCAGGTTCTTGATATGCCACATCTGTCAGGTGGATGGATTATCTTGACAAAGGATAAAATGCTCACTAACAGGGAATTAAACAAATTTGTAGCACAAAATATGAGAAAAATAAGTGCATATGGATCTTTTATTTCAGCTCATGAAACATGGGACCAGCACTTTACATGTTCCATTTATATTTTTGTTCAGTGTATATGCGTTCCCCCACGGCTTCAGTTCTCAATAAATCACCCCCCGTTTTTTCACTTCCACGTTCCTGCCAACAGGGGTAGCCCTTGAGTCCGTTGCTATGGAACCCCGAGCTCTTAGCATCAGGAGCCATCCTGCCATTGCTCTGATAAAACATGGGCAAGGTGGATCACCGCATCTCGCTCTATATGCGGATGACATCATCTTGTTCCTTTCACATGCCGAAGAGTCACGTCCCACCGCTGCTGGAGCTCATCGAATCATTTGGAGGACTCTCTGGGTCCACCATAAACCGGGATAAAAGTGAATCATTTGGAGAACTCTCTGGGTCCACCATAAACCGGGATAAAAGTGAATCATTTGGAGAACTCTCTGGGTCCACCATAAACCGGGATAAAAGTGAATCATTTGGAGAACTCTCTGGGTCCACCATAAACCGGGATAAAAGTGAATCATTTGGAGAACTCTCTGGGTCCACCATAAACCGGGATAAAAGTGAATCATTTGGAGAACTCTCTGGGTCCACCATAAACCGGGATAAAAGTGAATCATTTGGAGAACTCTCTGGGTCCACCATAAACAGGGATAAAAGTGAATCATTTGGAGGACTCTCTGGGTCCACCATAAACCGGGATAAAAGTGAATCATTTGGAGAACTCTCTGGGTCCACCATAAACCGGGATAAAAGTGAATTCATGCCTCTTAAAGGCGACTTATATTCCTTTTAAAACCACAAGAGACAATACATTTATAAATTGAACTACAGTATCTCGACATGATAGAGAAGTGGAAGCGTACCACTGAGATCTGGAGAGTGTTGCCTCTATCTAATGTTAAGCCGTGTTATTTAAATGGTCACACTCCCCAGATCTCTTTCTCTCATTCAGAATCTGCAGAATATTTTTAAATAAAGCTTTTTTCAAATCTTTGGATTCTATCATCTATTAAAAAACACATCAAGCCTGCCAAATGTTCAGCCTTCTTATTGGTCAGCTAGATGCTAGAGCACTGGTTCATTGGCAGGGTGAATACCCTGGCGTGGTGGATTCTTCCATCCCTTCATGGCTCGCTATTGAACAAGATATACGCACAACACTTCTCTTCCAGCACTTCTCTTTTCATCAATATATAGTATAAAAGAAGGAAAACGTTCGGTCTCCCGGAGACCTCGGCCTGTAGTCCTGTTTGCCATAACCGTGCTTTCCCCCCCGTTACTAACTGACAATACTTTTCTATTCTGGAAGAGAAAGGGCGTTACTACTATTGCAGACCTTTTACATCAATAATACTTTTGCCACATTCACACAGTTGAGGGAAGTGTACGAACTCGCCCGCATCTAATTTCTTCCGATATCTTCCGATAAGAAATTACGTTCGCTTAAATATACCTACATTTTGAGGCAATGGCACCTGCCCGCGACCTGTATACTTCCATGAACCTCGTCCCCTTGACTCCAAGAGTTTGACCTCCAGATCTGTAGATCACTGTACACCAGGGTTCTTCAATTCCGGTCCTGGCGGGCCCGAAACACCTCTGTTTTTCATCTCTCTCCTTCTAATCAGGGGCTGATTCAGACCTGGGACACCAGGTGAGTGCAATTAACTACCGGGTAGAAATAAAAAAACAGAAGTGTTTCGGCCCTCCAGGACCGGAATTGAAGAACCCTGCTGTACAGCATATTACTCTGTATCCACACAACATTTGAAGGAGACCTGGGAGGAAGACCTTTGGTATGGAGATGACTGACGACAGTCGGATTGATTGCCCTCGAGATATTCACTTGTGCTCGATAAACTTCCGACACCAACTTATTCAACACTAAGTGATTCACAGACTACACTATTCCTGTGTACCAAATTGCACTCGTTTTAAACCTCGGTCTCTCCGATATGCCCTAAGTGCAAGTCTGCCGAGGGTACCCTGGGGTCACCTCTTTTCTGGTCATGCCCCAAACTGCACACATTCTGGCGGGATATTTTTAAGTGTTACTCAGAAGTATACAGCTGTGATCTCATACCAGCCCCGGACTCTGCTGTTTTAGGCGGGTCACAGCACCTTTAACCCACTGGGAACAGAAGACTGTACAATATGTCATGGTTATTGCAAAAATACATATTTTAAGCCTTTGGAATAAGGAGACTGTACCTGTTTTTTAAAACCTGGTTAGCTGAAGTCAGCAGTTTGCTACATATAGAGGGGATTCGACATGAGATCTCTGGCAGATCTAATACATTGGTTAAGATACGGCAGCTCTTTTTATAGAGTATCTTTCACGTGATGATGGGTAACACAACATACAGCCTGCTGACCACCCTGATCCACAGTCATTCTTTTTAATGGAGCATAATCCTTATACTACAGTATGTCAAATATCAATGAAGCATGGTGCCGATTCCTTGAGAGCAATGTTGTGGTCCTCTGTAACTCCTCTGTAGCTCAATTGATAGAGCATGGCGCTTGTAACGCCAAGGTAGTGGGTTCGATCCCCGGGACCACCCATACGTAAAAATGTATGGACACATGACTGTAAGTCGCTTTGGATAAAAGCGTCTGCTAAATGGCATATTATTATAATTATATTATTATTATTATTATTATTATTATTATTATTATTATATTATTATTATATTATTATTATAATATTGTTTTTTCTTTCTGGTTTTTTCTCTCTCCTGTTGGGGGGTATTCTCCATGTATTGTTTGCTGTCATCTGTCTGTTTGTAAAACTGAAAATTCATAAATAAAATATAGGGGAGAAAAGGAAACATATTTATGTAAATGATTTGGCCAGCCGGTTAATATTCCACATTCCCACTCAGGCTATGAACTCGGATGGGGGTAGTAATGGCATGAGGCTGCTCCTCTCCTTCCTCACATCTCTCTCTCTCCCTTCCCCTCAGGGCCTAAACTCAGAGGGTGGCAGTAATGGCATGGACTGGGAGAAGCCCCAGTACCCTCCGCTGAACCTGGGAGACCCAGAGAGCGGGTACCTGACGGAGGCTAACCTGCTGGCCATCTCCCTGCAGATCGGACAGGACTGGAGGTCCATCGGCATCAACCTGGGAATCAGCTACCAGGAGCTGGACCGCATACAGTTCAAATACAGGTGGGCATGTTCATTAGGCACCAAACGTAAGAAAACTGACTGAAACAGGGAGGGATTACCTGTATTTATCCAATAAGAAACACTACATTTCGCATTCATACAAATACAGGTGGGCATGTTCATTAGGCACCAAACGTAAGAAAACTGACTGAAACAGGGAGGGATTACCTGTACTTATCCAATAAGAAACACTACATTTCGCATTCATACAAATACAGGTGGGCATGTTCATTAGGCACCAAACGTAAGAAAACTGACTGAAACAGGGAGGGATTACCTGTACTTATCCAATAAGAAACACTACATTTTCGCATTCGGTAGAAATACAGGTGGGCATGATGGGCACTGTGTGATGGAGAACCAGGGTCGCGTTCATTAGGCACCAAACGCAAGAAAGGGGATTGAAACTGGGAGGGACTTCCTGGACTGTTGCAGATTGCTTTTGAAACGTTTTCCGTTACGTACCCTAATGTACAAGAGCAAGGTCATGTTCCCTTTAGAATGATTAACCAACCGTATGTGATGGCCACATGTCATATTATATGTGTCAGTATTTCCAGTTAGGTCGCAACAACGTGTGCATGACATTTGCATGAAAATAGCTTTGCGTGTAAAAAAAATTCTGTCCATCATAAACTAACACTCTGTTTTACCAGGGTACAGTAGGGGTAGTCAGTCTTTTTTATTTGATTCTGAATCAATCTTAATTTGAGTCTTATTTGACTCTGATTCACATGGTGAATGTACATCAGATGAGATCTCGGTTACTGACCTGACCTGTTGTAAAGTGATGTACCCCAGTGTCAGATTAAACTGTGGGATTATCATGAGGCCAGATTAAGATAGGAAATGACTAAAGCTGAACCTAAGAATAACAAGCCAAACTCTCATCAATATGTTTGGTAACCCTTTATTTGAAGGTTAGCTGCATAAGGACTTCATAACCCATTCATAACCCATTCATAACCCGTACATAACCCATATATAACCCATTCATAACCCACACATAACCCATACATAACCCATTCATAACCCATTCATAACCCATATATAACCCATTCATAACCCATTTATAACCCATTCATAACCCATACATAACCCATATATAACCCATTCATAACCCATTTATAACCCATTTATAACCCATTCATAACCCATTCATAATCCATTCATAACCCATTCATAACCCATACATAACCCATTCATAATCCATTCATAACCCATTCATAACCCATACATAACCCATTCATAACCCATACATAACCCATACATTACCCATACATAACCCATAAGCAGTGGTTATTACATCTTTACCACGGTGATTTCCCTTTTTATCAGAAGCATTTTGGCCCATCAAGAGGGATGAAGAGATGCAGACGTAGCTACAGCCCAGTGTACTATTTCTGGATAAGAGGGATGAAGTGATGCACATGGTGTATTAGCATAGGATAACTAAAGTCATTCAATTCTCACTGGAGGGAAAAGAAGAGACGGATTGAGATTTAACTTGTTAGGAGCCTGGAAGAGAGATGCAGGGGGAGTCAGAGAGAGAAGAGAGAGGAGTGGTGTATGGAAAGAGGGAAGGAGAGAGAGAGGGAGAGAGAATGGAGTGGTGTAGGGAGAGAGGAGAGAGAGAGAACGGAGTGGTGTAGGGAGAGAGGAGAGAGAGAACAGAGTGGTGTAGGGAGAGAGAGAACGGAGTGTAGATGAGAAAATATGGTGAGGAGAGAGGAGAGAGAGAATGAGATGGTGTATGGATGGGAATAGAGTGTGTAGGGAAGTGAGAGAGAGAGAACGGAGTTTTGGTGAGTGGAGGAGAGAGAGAGGAACGAGTGGTTGTAGGGAGAGGAGAGAGAAACAGTGGAGAAGAGAGACGGAGTTTTTGTGATGGAGAGAGGAGGAGAGACGAGCGTGGTTAGGAGAGAGTGAGGAGAGAGAGAGAACGGAGTGGTGTAGGGAGAGAGGAGAGAGAGAGCGGAGTTGTGGGACAGTGGTGTGTAGGGAGAGAGCGAGGACGGAGTGGTGTAGGGAGAGGAGAGAGAGAGAACGATGTGGTTAGGAGAGAGGAGAGAGAACGGAGTGGTGTAGGAGAGAGAACGGTGGTGTAGGGAGGGAGAGAGCGGCGACTGCGTGGTGTACGGGAGGAGAGCGAGACGGAGTGGTGTAGGAGAGAGCGCACGTGTGGTGTCGGGCGAGCGGACGGAGGCAGCCCGGCGTGGTGTGGGGAGAGGCGAGAGCACCGGAGTGGTGTGGGGAGAGGAGAGGACGAGTGGTGTGGGAGGAGCACGGTGTGTGGGCGAGAGCGAGGACGGAGTGGTGTAGGGAAGACGGAGAGAGACGGAGTGTCCGAGGGTGAGGAGGACCGCGCAGTGTGTCGCGGTGGGTAGAGAGCGGGTGAGGGAAGGACGGGTGGTGTGAGGGAGAGAGAGAACGGATGTGTGGGGAGGCGAGGACGGGTGGTGAGGGGAGAGGAGAGAGAAGGATGTGTGGGAAAAGGAGAAAAAGGGGTGGGGGGGGGGGAGGGGGGGGGGGGGGGCCCTTTTGGGAAAAGGGGGGGCGGGTGGTGTGGGGGGGAGGGGGGTGTGGGGGGGGGGGGGGGGGGGGGGGCGGGGGGGGGGGGGAAGGGGGGTGGGGGGGGGAGGGGTGGGGGGGGGGAGGCGGGGTGGTGGGGGGGGGGGGGCGGGGTTGGGGGGGGGGGGGCCCGGGGGGGGGGGGGCCCCCCCCGGGGGGGGGGGGGAAAGGGGCCCCGGGTTTGGGGGGGGGGGTTTTTGGGGGGGGCCCCCTTAAAAAAAGGGGGGGGGGGGGGGGAAAGGGGGGGAAAAGTTTTGGGAAAAGGGGGGGGGGGGGGGGGGGGGGGGTTTTTTTTTTGGGGGGGGGGGGGGGGGAAAACCGGGGGGAGGGAGGGGGGGAGGCCGGGGGTGGGGGGGCCCCCCCGGGGGGGGGCCCTTTTGGGGGGAAAGGGGGTTTTTTTTGGGGGAAAACCCCTTTTGGGGGGGGGGGGAAAAAAGGGGGGGGGGAAAAAAGGATTACTTTATCCTATCTCCCAGGTATTCCTGAAAGAGGTGGGGTTTCAAATGTCTCCGGAAAGGGTGGTGAGTGACTCCGCTGTCCTGGCGTCGTGAGGGAGCTTGTTCCCACCATTGGGGTGCCAAGCAGCGAACAGTTTTGACTGGGCTGAGCGGGAACTATGCTTCTGCAGAGGTAGGGGAAGCCAGCAGGCCAGAGGTGGATGACGCAGTGGCCCTCGTTTGGGTGTAGGGACTGATCAGAGCCTGAAGGTACGGAGGTTGGCCGTTCCCCTCACAGCTCCGTAGCAAGCAACTTGGTCTTGTAGCAGATGCGAGCTTCAACTGGAAGCCAGTGGAGTGTGCGGAGGAGCGGGGTGACGTGAGAGAACTTGGGAAGGTTGAACACCAGACGGGCTGCGGCATTCTGGATGAGTTGTAGGGGTTTAATGGCACAGGCAGGGAGCTCAGCCAACAGCTAGTTGCAGTAATCCAGACGGGAGATGACAAGTGCCTGGATTAGGACCTGTGCCGCTTCCTGTGTAAGGCAGGGTCGTACTCCGAATGTTGTAGTGCATGAACCTACAGGATCGGGTCACCGCCTTGATGTTAGCGGAGAACGACAGGGTGTTGTCCAGGGTCACGCCAAGGCTCTTCGCACTCTGGGAGGAGGACACAACGGAGTTGTCAACCGTGATGGCGAGATCATGGAACGGGCAGTCCTTCCCCGGGAGGAAGAGCAGCTCCGTCTTGCCGAGGTTCAGCTTGAGGTGGTGATCCGTCATCCATACTGATATGTCTGCCAGACATGCAGAGATGTGATTTGCCACCTGGTTATCAGAAGGGGGAAAGGAGAAGATTAGTTGTGTGTCGTCAGCGTAGCAATGATAGGAGAGGCCATGTGAGGATATGACAGAGCCAAGTGACTTTGTGTATAGCGAGAATAGGAGAGGGCCTAGAACTGAGCCCTGGGGGACACCAGTGGTGAGAGCACGTGGTGCGGAGACAGCTTCTCGCCACGCCACTTGGTAGGAGCGACCGGTCAGGTAGGACGCAATCCAAGAGTGAGCCGCGCCGGAGATGCCCAGCTCGGAGATGGTGGAGAGGAGGATCTGATGGTTCACAGTATCAAAGGCAGCAGACAGGTCTAGAAGGACAAGAGCAGAGGAGAGAGAGTTAGCTTTAGCAGTGCGGAGAGCCTCTGTGACACAGAGAAGAGCAGTCTCAGTTGAATGACCAGTCTTGAAACCTGACTGGTTTGGATCAAGAAGGTCATTCTGAGAGAGATAGCAAGAGAGTTGGCTAAAGACGGCACGCTCAATAGTTTTGGAGAGAAAAGAAAGAAGGGATACTGGTCTGTAGTTGTTGACATCGGAGGGATCGAGTGTTGGTTTTTTGAGAAGGGGTGCAACTCTCGCTCTCTTGAAGACGGAAGGGACATAGCCAGCGGTCAAGGATGAGTTGATCAGCGAGGTGAGGTAAGGGAGAAGGTCACCGGAGATGGTCTGGAGAAGAGAGGAGGGGATAGGGTCAAGCGGGCAGGTTGTTGGGCGGCCTGCTGTTACAAGTCGCAAGATTTTATCTGGAGAGAGAGGGGAGAAAGAAGTCAAAGCATAGGGTAGGGCAGTGTGAGCAGGACCAGCAGTGTCATTTGACTTAACAAACGAGGATCGGATGTCGTCAACCTTCTTTTCAAAATGGTTGATGAAGTCATCCACAGAGAGGGAGGGGGGGGGGGGGGGATTCAGCAGGGAGGAGAATGTGGCAAAGAGCTTCCTAGGGTTAGAGGCGGATGCTTGGAATTTAGAGTGGTAGAAAGTGGCCTTAGCAGCAGAAACAGATGAAGAAAATGTAGAGAGGAGGGAGTGAAAAGATGCCAGGTCTGCAGGGAGTCTAGTTTTCTTCCATTTCCGCTCAGCTGCCCGGAGCTCTGTTCTGTGAGCTCGCAATGAGTCATCAAGCCACGGAGCTGGAGGGGAGGACCGAGCCGGCCGGGAGGATAGGGGACATAGAGAGTCAAAGGATGCAGAAAGGGAGGAGAGGAGGGTTGAGGAGGCAGAATCAGGAGATTGGAGGGAGAAGGATTGAGCAGAGGGAAGAGATGATAGGATGGAAGAGGAGAGAGTAGCGGGAGAGAGAGAGCGAAGGTTGCGACGGCGCATTACCATCTGTGTAGGGGCAGAGTGAGTAGTGTTGGAGGAGAGGGAGAGAGAAAAGGATACAAAGTAGTGGTCGGAGACTTGGAGGGGAGTTGCAGTGAGATTAGTAGAAGAACAGCATCTAGTAAAGATGAGGTCAAGCGTATTGCCTGCCTTGTGAGTAGGGGGGGACGGTGAGAGGGTGAGGTCAAAAGAGGAGAGGAGTGGAAAGAAGGAGGCAGAGAGAAATGAGTCAAATGTAGACGTAGGGAGGTTAAAGTCCCCCAGAACTGTGAGGGGTGAGCCATCCTCAGGAAAGGAACTTATCAAGGCGTCAAGCTCATTGATGAACTCTCCAAGGGAACCTGGAGGGCGATAGATGACAAGGATATTAAGCTTAAATGGGCTAGTGACTGTGACAGCATGGAATTCAAATGAGGAGATAGACAGATGGGTCAGGGTAAAAATTGAGAATGTCCACTTGGGAGAGATGAGGATTCCTGTGCCACCACCCCGCTGACCA